ATGGTACCAAGGTGCACATTGACCAACGGTTGGTGAAGCACCAATGTGCATTATTGACGAGAGTCAATATTATGGCCTATTTAGCCACTAGTGAAAAATCGCTTGGACGAAAAGCTGCATTCATGGGCTATGTCAACAATCTTTCCATGACAATACCATTACGACATCCCACCTAGGATTGAATATTTTCAAATTATGCAACCGATCGGATTTTCGGTTGTCTCTATCTAGAGGTAAAAATGAGGCATTTATTAACACATTGGTCTACTACTCATTTAGCCACTAGTGAAAAATCGCTTGGACGAAAAGCTGCATTCATGGGCTATTTAAATAATCTTTCCATGACAATACCATTACGACATCCCACATAGGATTGAATATTTTCAAATTATGCAACCGATCGGATTTTCGGTTGTCTCTATCTAGAGGCAAAAATGAGGCATTTATCAACACATTGGTCTACTAGTCATTTAGCCACTAGTGAAAAATCGCTTGGACGAAAAGCTGCATTCATGGGCTATTTAAACAATCTTTCCATGACAATACCATTACGACATCCCACATAGGATTGAATATTTTCAAATTATGCAACCGATCGGATTTTCGGTTGTCTCTATCTAGAGGCAAAAATGAGACATTTATTAAGACATTGGTCTACTAGTCATTTAGCCACTAGTGAAAAATCGCTTGGACGAAAAGCTGCATTCATGGGCTATTTAAATAATCTTTCCATGACAATACCATTACGACATCCCACATAGGATTGAATATTTTCAAATTATGCAACCGATCGGATTTTCGGTTGTCTCTATCTAGAGGCAAAAATGAGACATTTATTAGCACATTGGTCAACTACTCATGTGGCAGCCATAAGCGACGACGGTATCATTGCCTAATCCTTCATCCTTGATTGATTTTTTTTCTTATTATTGTAACGGTCGTCTTTTACGACTGTGCTGCGCTATGCAAATTGAAATAATGTGCATGAATTTGGAGCTCTTTTCATGCTTGACTCCAGGGACTTTTGCATCAAAATGAGCAAGCTTCTATGATGATATTATCATCCTCATTACTAAAATAATATTAGCCTTTTGCTGTGATCTCTCGGCCGTCTCCATTTCTACCCAAGCCAGAGCACACATGAATGGATTGTGTTAGCTCGGGCCTTCGTCCCCGCCCATCATCGTTGAAGAGAGAAAGCTTGCCTGGTTTCAAGCCTTTACTGAATGGCCCATGCCTGTATGTATGCGCGCGCCTATTTGGGGTCAATGGCCGAGGTCAATCGGCGGGGTCATGGTTGGCAACCAGGTTTGCAACCAGCTCTCCGCCATCATGCGCGATGAAAAAAAGCAAATGAAGAATGGTTAGTGGCGTGCTGAATGAATCATCATCACAGGCCATGAATTGTCCAGGGTATACTGAACTGTAGCAGCAAGTCTTGAATTCAAAAAAATAGCCCGCTGTAAAGGGCTTTTATTCATGACTCCATCCATTTCTTTTCACCATTTCAATAGTTTTTTTTGTTGTTGGCATGCGTTGCATTGTACTGTATTGCTACCATATTAGACGTCATATTATACGTACAGTATGAGTTGATGGCTTGAAAGCTTGAACAACAACTGCAGTCGATGCCGGTTGCCGGTATCCTACAGGATGTACTCTACCCATGGACACAATGTACTGTAGGTGAGCACCGTTGGTACATGATCCAGTATCCTTCTCTACAGTACCAACACTACAGTGTACAGTCGTTGAGCAACACCTTGGCTTGTCGACAAAAATAATAAAAATAAACACAATCTGTGTTTGTTTTTAGTTTTGAAAAGCCCGACAAGTATATCAACGCATTCTACGATCGTGAGGTAGAAAGTGGAGGAGAGATCTTCAAGTCCCAACTGGAACATCTTGATTAATAGAGTAAGTAGTTGGATGGATCGTTATGTAATTTTAAAATAGATCAATGCAGTATTTATCAACGGATGAAAACAACAACTTGCAAACCTGATCAGTTCAACTCGACATGTTACGCTGATGATACATCACCCATGCGATGGCAGGGTGTGCTTGCATTTTTTTTCTCTTTCCTCTATCAGTGGTCTACTTTTCCATCGATCGACCTACTACTATACAGTATAGACGCTAGACGCTGTTTTATTAACGTAGAGCTTGTTAGTGATCGTCTTGGATTGAAATACTCCAAGTCTATCTTGATTCTTACCGTTAATAACTGGTCGAAATGGATGTCATTAAATAGAAACCATGACTTGATCCAAACATGCTAACCCAAACTTTTTGAAGCTGATACAACATCATTTCATTATAGCAAATATTTTACATCTGTCGAAATTGTTTCCGCCTGTATGAATATCACTCACTCACTTTGTCTATTCTACACTGTACAGTAACCATCGCTCACTTTGGTCATAGACTGATAGCAAACTCTCTCGCTATATCTGTTAGACTAAAAATTTACTAAAGTCGATTACAAAAGTCTCTCCGCTCACAGTACTATACATGAACATTATTAACTGAATGATCGATCCAACGACCTTTATCGCAAATAATACCGATTCAATTCCATGGATAAAAATGGCCCCCCCCCCAAAAAATAGACGGTACAGCATAGAAAACGAATATTTTAAAATTCATCGTCCTAATCGACTTCAGATAAACTCCATGATTCTACTGCTAGTCGAGATGAAGGCGTTATGAAGCCGTTCTAATTTTACCAAAGCCGGTGAAACTAGAATAGATTCCACGCGTATTCAGTACTGCAGTACAGAAATAGTATAAGGCATTGGCGTATAACATATGTAAATGAATAGGTTTAGCCATTCACCATTTTACTATTAATGATTGATTGATTGATGGTTGCATGTTGACAGTAGAGTATCTGAGTGTAATCCTACCTTGCCTATACTCTACTTATAATATGCGCTTGACTGACAGAAACACTACCTAAACAACTATGTCCACTGAACCGGTTTCGCTAGTGTTGTAGTCAGCATCCAATATCCAACAAGGAACTGGGCCTCTATTAGCTTAATGAAGCTGCTCTACATATTGCAGTAGTAAGCCATGCAAGATTCTACAGAGCACGTTGTTGTTGAAGGAAATCCTAGCTCAAGAGGCAAAACGGCGGATTGGCATGGATACAATACAATTTATTGCAAGCGATCTTTGACAAGGGACTATTTTCTTGTAGTCTTTTAAGTAGCCGTATGCTTACCCTTTTATATCGCATACTATATGAAATAAGTATCATCATGCCCTCCAAATAGTATTACTGCTATACTCTATCCAATATTGGCAGAGTCTGTTCGACAGTATTAGCCGGCGACAATATTTCCATAAAACAACATTAGTCATGGTAGCAATAAATTGACCGGTATGGCAAGAATTGTTCCCAACTGTAAAAGTCAAATATTATTCGTACATACGGGTATAAACTACTACTAAAAGAAGACTTTTAAGTAGTCCATGATACTAGCATGCGATATGGCCAATCAATTTGGCCAGATTAATTTAATTAATTGAATTAGGGTGCACATTCCGCAGATTGTCAAGGAATGACACAGGAGATCTCCAGTTGTACAGTACTAGGAATGAGTTCATTACTCATAGGTAGGAGAAAGTCCATAGCCTATTTATTGATTGACGATAAAACGAGATGCATTTGGCAACATTGCACGTGGTAGTAACTTGGCCGATGCGAAACACCGGTCTTCGGATCAATTCATGCGGCAAGTTTTTTTTCGGTTAAAAGAAAAATAGTCACGTTGTTCGCCGCGATGTATGCATAGAATTTCATACAGCTGTTGGACCGATAGGACAGTATTACCGAATATAATTTAATTAAGTGGCAAAAGAAAATTAAAGTAGACGAAATGACCAGAGACAGTACTGTAGGTCAAAGGCCTCTGAAAAAATTTACTTTTTACACATCCTAGAGACGCTAATTGTATATATATATATAGTGCACTCAAATTGGTAAGAAAATTGGCCAAGTCCCAATGAGTAAAAAAGGTAGTTGTTGTGAGACAGCGGCTACTTGTTTTCAAAAAGGAAAAATATTTCATATAGGAAATGCGTCCAAAGCATAAATATAGTACTAAAGTACAACCGCATCAGGACAATTGCCACCCATGACTTTTACGGGCATTTTCTACCCCTGAAGAACTATTTAGCTATTCAAAAATCGAAAAATTCTTCTATCATTTACATTTATGTGTTACTTTTTATAATTTAAGACACATTAACTCAAAAAGATTTAGTTATGGATGGCAATTATCCGGGTGACAGTTGTCCTAAAACCATAAAATGCTGCGCTTGATTTTATATATTGTCCAATTCGATTATGTGTATAGATGCACACATACTTTGCCAAGAAATCACTAGAGGACACCAAGTGTGTGTGTAATGTCTTCTTGACGAGCACATGAATTGGAATTTTTATGTCGTTACAATTCAATATTATTGCAAAAAAAACGATTTATATTGTTACGATTTAAGAATATGTACTTGCTGTGTAAACTTTACAGTAGAAGTACGTAGTTAGTGCGAGTAGTGTTCAATAAGCTAATTTTGTAAACCTTTACGCGAAAGCAATCTTTATTCTTACATTATTTCATCGTGCAACGTACAGTAAACGACTTCAACTAAAATTTTATCCTCTTATTACAATAAAAAGAAGTTCCTGTTTTTTATCAAGAGGAGAAAGTTTTTTATTTTAAGAGGGGATGAGCAAAAGAATTCAAGACATATTTATTTACAGTATATTATGCCACTAGATTATAAATTACCAATAGAGCGCCAGTTACTAGGGTAATATTTTAATATTAGTTGATATTAAATAAGTGAATAGGAGTGTACGCAAATTAACAAGAAACTGCATACCACGGATTGAGAAATTTTCACCTAACGTTCGCTTGAACTTTTTGTAGGTACAAAAGTTACTTCACAACTTTACCCATATTATTCTGCGCACTCAAATTTGAGAAATGGCGGAAGCAAGGCAAGCTGTTGCATTCCAATTTACAATCACCTCTAATGGGATTTTTATCGACTTCAATCAAGTAGGAATCAATAATGCTATTCAAACAGTATTACACGCAATACGGCTGAAATGGCGCAACTTCCGTAATTCTCTACATAAGAGTGTATTTCCAAATTCTGCTAAATCGTATCTAATTATCGCGATGGTATTAGTTTTACTGCGCTATCTACAGTTTGGGCCGGTAAAATATCTCTTTCAATTAGAAGCTTACATCCCTACGCAGGATCCTCGAATTACCATCGCCACTCATGTTGTTATATTAGCAACGGTATTGTGGATCACCTTGGCTTATTTTAAGCGATACATGTTAAAAGTTTTGCTTATGTACAAGGGATGGATATTTGAGAGCGGAGGAAAGATCTCGCTCCAAACTAAAATTTGGTATGGCTTGATAAATATGTTGAAGTGGAAAGGAAAACTCCAGTTATTAAGCTATCAGTCTTCACTGCCACGATTGCCAGTCCCTTCTTTAGAATCAACTACCAAAAGATACCTCCAATCAGTACGTCCGTTAGTTAACGACGAAAAATATGACCGGATGGCCAAGCTGGCCAATGAATTCCAGAATGGTATTGGATGTAAACTCCAACGTTATCTAGTTCTTTATTCATGGTGGGCGAGTAACTATGTCTCTAGCTGGTGGGAAAATTATGTCTATTTACGGAGTCGTGAATCACTCCTCATTAATAGTAACTATTACATGATAGATGGAGCCACTGAAGAAACCGTGACCAACAGACAAGCTGCTCGCGCAGCAAGCATAACAAGAAGTGTAATACAATATCGCCAAATGATAGACGATGAGAGCTTGGAACCATTGATACTTCGGGATTCAATTCCGATGTGTTGTAAGCAACATCTTAGGCAAATGAATACTGCAAGATTACCCGGAAAGGAATTTGATAAGATTGCCCATTACAGTTCAAGCATTTCTCGTCATATTGCCGTTCTTCATAAAGGTCGCTATTACAAGCTTGATTTGTATCGCGGTCCACGCTGGCTAAAATTAGTGGACCTAGAAAAGCAATTTCAGCGTATCATTGATGATGAAGAAGAACCACTACCGAGTGAATTACACTTGGCTGCGTTAACAGCCGTAGACAGGACTCGCTGGGCTACAATACGTGAAGAATACTTCTCAAACGGAATTAATAAGCAGTCTCTAGATGTAATCGAAAAATCTGCTTTTGTTCTTGTATTAGACGATACCGAACAATTTTATCAAGAAAATGATCCTAGTAAGTTTAATTCATTTTGCAAAGCATGCCTTTGCGGTAACGGTTACAACAGATGGTTTGATAAATCAATGACTGCAATCATTTATGCTAATGGACGATTTGGAGCGAATTTGGAGCACACATTTGCAGATGCACCAATATTTGGTCATCTACTTGAATATCTCATGACAAACGATGCATCTCCAGGAAGATTTAAGCCGGATGGCCATTGTGATGGTGAATCCAGCGTGGACAATATTGGCCGTCCTACCCGATTGAAGTGGGATATTCCTTCTAAATGTTGTGAAGAAATTGAAGATTGCGCCCAAATTGCAAAGTCGGCCATAAGTGATCTCGATCTTTATGTGCTAGATTTTACTGAATATGGCAAAGGATATATGAAAACTTGTAAAGTTAGTCCTGATGGTTACATGCAAATGGCGTTACAATTGACCTACTATAGATTAAGTCGTCAATTTTGCTTAACCTACGAGTCAAGCATGACACGATTATACAGAGAAGGTAGGACTGAAACTGTTCGACCTGTTACTACGTTGTCTACAGAATTCGTTCACACTATGTGCGATAAAAAGAAAAGCAGCGCTGAAAAGCGTCAAGCTTTAAGGAATGCTTGTGAAAATCATGCTATGTTAGCAAAGGAAGCCATGTTGGGTTATGGGATCGATCGCCATCTGTTTTGCTTATATGTTGTATCAAAATATCTTAAACTCGATTCACCGTTTTTAAAAGAAGTATTAAGTGAACCTTGGCGCCTGTCTACTAGTCAAACCCCTCACAGGCAGACGAAATTTTGCAAAGATGATGATTACGATGCTTGCGCTAAAAAGTTATCTGCTGGTGGTGGATTTGGCCCAGTGGCAGACGACGGCTATGGCGTTTCTTACATTTTTACTGGCAATCGATATGTAGTCATTCATATTACATCAAAGAAATCCTGCAGAGGTACAGGTTCCGAAAAATTTGCTAAAATGTTGAGAAAAAGCCTACTAGATATGCGAAAAATCTTTCAAGATTCTTAAAATCATATTCCTTCTTACAAATTTATGGCCTTCATTGAACTAGAAGCGTTAGTTTACTTACCACTGTATTCTCAGATAAGATAGTTAATTGTATCTCGGTTATCAAGCGTCGTTAAATTGATCAATTTTATTTTGTATGCAATAAAGTAAGATCGTACTATCGTTAGCTGCTTCATGCCAAAATTATCAAGGTAACTAGATGGTTATCATTCAACACTAGGTTATTTATAATCTGCAGTGTGATACGGAATTGATAAATATTCCTTATTGCGATATTTTGTTTAGCAACGTTATAGCACTTTGAAAGAGTGTCATTCTTGAAATACCGGAGAGATTACTTACGACTTTGAAATACTGTAGTATAAATCCAAGTTTTCGTAATAGTAGATAGTATATAATTGCTATCAATTCGTCGTATCATTGCTTTAGTAACTAGAAATAGGTACATTTCCATTTGATAACGGATGGACCCTTTACAAGTTCAGATTTGAAGTCCGAAATTATGATACTAATTCATGTTATATGGAAATTGAACAATTTATAATGTAATTTATTTTTATGCTATTTAACGCAGCAGCAATGCTTCTTTTATTCAAATTTGGGTAATGTATATCGTTGTATGAAGGCATTGCTGCAAGATCAAATTTCTGGCGATAAATTTACTGCATGCAAGAGCACTGTGATTACTATGTATGCCTATAGTAGTATATGCTTATACGTATTTTACCGTTTGTGAAAGTGTTTTGCCTGTGTGGTGAAAATTTAATATTACTTAATTCACTCTCAAATGACCGACTTGGAAGATACTACGTGATCTATGTTTCTAAATGCTTTGTGCCGGCGACATGCTTCCTAGTCTGTATATCTGTAAATAAATACAGTTGGCTCTGCAATGAATAAAAAGTAAAATTGTATCACTTCTATTATTAAGAAAGTTGGTCAACACTGTGATTCGTATTAAGGATAGCAATGTTAACTTTGTTTGCAATTAGTAATGATTTTACATTTCTAGAGATAATCGTATTTCGGTCAATTTTATAAATTACACCGCATAGATGTCAATAAGAAGCGTATGTTGTGCTCAATGATTTATAGCATATTGGCATACTGTACATATTTACCGTACATGAGTATGATTTTCTGTAGTCGTAACTATTATAAATCTATAGAGGTACAGTATATGCGTAAATATCATAAATCCGTAGAGGTATATACGCGTCAATAAATTATTATTATTATTAATAAATCTACTTCCATGATGGAATTACTCGGAGTTTTAATCATTTTTTTTCTCTGTCTCTCTATCTTACGAAAGATACCACAAATACGTAGTGCAAGCAAATGCTATCCGCAATGTAGAGGCGCAAACATTAGAATATTTATTTTACTATTTTTCTTTCAATATGTTACTGAGCGACATAAAGTATATTTTCAAATACGCGTACGTGATACATGATACTAGTGTAGACTGTAGACATACAATATACAGTATTACTTGTGTTCTGGTTACTTCGATATGCTATTGCTTGCTAGTTAGTGAGTAACTACTGTATAGTATATAATTCTAGTAGATACCCTGCCTAAAGTAAACCTTGTACTGTACAAGTTTCTATTATTCCAGTATGTAGGTACTTGACAAGTGAAAAAGGAAAAAGACATTCGTCAAATTACATAATCGTACTGGCTGCATGGCTATGTACATCTGAGCCAAAATATTTGTTGACTGATATGTTTTACTGTTAAAACAAAACATGTATACTCGTCTATTAAAAACACAAGTATTAGCTAAATAGTTAAGTAGCCAATAGTCTTGAATCGGTTGCTTTATGTTGGAAAAGCGTCAACATAAAATCAATATTTCGCAGGCGTATTGCACGTATGCAACGCTTGAATATACTGTACTGTACAGTGTACAATATAGAGAGAGAGATTCTGTATCTACTAACGTTATGGCTGAGTGTACATATGCGATGGAAACGATATAAATAACCATCTGCATTATTTACAACCCCCCAAAATGTTTAATAATGATAATAATAATAATTGTTATTATTGTTTTGGAATTGAATTGTTCTACTTGGACTTTGACCCAATCCAATCATTTTTTTACAACTGCAGTTTACAGGCATGATGTTCTCATGACTTGAGGCCTGTTCTAATTATATCAAGAAATCCTGGGTAGCTTGACTAATAACGGGTATACTTTTATCGCTCATTCTGGTGTAGGCGTCTAAAATAAGTGTCGGTTTATCATGGTTCAAGAGGATCATGATCGTGATTGTAGGTGAGCAGTCGTAAGCAAGCTGTTAATCCTATCTCGTACTAACTCCACTAAAGGAGTCATCATGCGATCATAAATTGGTAGCATGCTTACGTGAAGATCAAGAGTTGTTATCTATGCTATATCTACAGTATGTCTTTATGTACATACTGTACTGTACAGTGGATATATCGGGGCTTTACTTACAGTATGTCATTCTTCAAGTTGATTTCTTGAACCATCAACTACAATACTGTGTTGTACAGTGTCGTATTTTCGCCTCCTCGCTGGCGATAAACAATCCAATTACTCCTCCTTCTTTTATCATGCATATGAGTTGTTGACAAAATTAGCCATATTGTACTGTATTTGCATGACTATAGGTTTAACCTGGCTTTAACTATGTTATTCACCGACTACAGCACCATACTGTACGGTGGAATTTCATTTCAATCTTTCCCACCCGATAAGTAATAAATAAATAACTAAAATAATTCTATCATAAATAGTAAATAGTGCAGCACTGTCAATAATTAAATTACAAAACTGTACAGTACAATTCAGTATCGACGCATACTACGGATTGACGACCCAATTTGACAACTCGTGAAGACCTTGGTACATGCGTACTGGCGGCAAAATGTCCATAGTACTGTACACTGTACACTGTACACTGTACAAACCACCCAGCCAATAACACCGTTACCCTCCATATATCACATGCCACCCATTTAAGCCAGGGCAACATCATACGGCCATTGAAAAAAAACTCATTGGCGTCTTGGACAGTGAAAGTTGCATTAGCCAGCATAGGACTAGGCAAAGAAAAACGTGAATCTTAACCTATATCTGTTATGATAGCATTCAGCTTATTAACAAAGTCAAGGTATGTAATAAAAGTCAGTAATGTAACAGTTTATTGAATTTCTTTGGAGGACTTGCAAATGTGTGATGATTGGCAAAAAGTGGATGTTTATCGTTATGCGCTAGGCAAATTGTCAGTGGGGTCCACCGTTAAAGTACACAATATTGAGTCACGTTAGCAATTGATAGGATACTGATATATAAAATTGACTTATCCAATATCTTAGACTGTACTCAGTACATAAAATGAACATGATAAATGGTAAAAATGGAATTAAAACGAGTTTGGACATTTTGAAGTTCAATCTTCAATCTTGAGTTCAAGGTAAAGAACAAAAACAGACCCCAGTGGGTACTGCTGATACACTCGTTCTGTACTGTACTGTACTTTAAAAAAGCGCAATGAACTTCGGTGACACTAAGGAAAATAAACTGTATAGGCTAAATCAAGTCCTGCCTGTCCAGATCGATTTTGAACACGAGTGTTGACAAATTGGAACTTTCAATTTTTCACGTCATCTTGCCATCCAAGTTAATCGCGCTGTACACTACGTTGTACGTAGTCGACAAACTTTCTATACTGTAACTTGATTGAAGAATAATCATCATACTACACCACAATAGCAGTCAGCGTATATCGGTCTTTCACTACTATTGTGCATATTTTCGGTAATTGTCTGTTGTCCTTCTCGGTACTGGAAACAGTCTTATGCTTACCGTTTATTCCATTTCATATACTGTACAATTTCATTCATACTCGTGATTGAATAACAAAATTATTGGACTTTGTACTTCTTCCATTTTCCATATTGTTATCCGCTGCTGTGTAATTTTGTGATTGTCTACACTGTACAGTACTGTCCCACTACTTTCCATGCCGTAGGACACCTACTGTGATACTATGTGCAATTCCGTAAAGGCGGAGAGTGGGTGTTTACTGGTTGGAAAAAAAAGGAGTTGCCCACGTTTAACTTAATAGTACTGTAAAAGACTCCTACAGAAGAATAATATACAGTATCATCGTCTAAGCTGTTGACACTGAGTACTGTATCTGAGTAAGTTATTATGAACGGGCCTACTCCCACATGCATCGGACGTCCTACGCATCATTGGTATTATATTGTTGTATATTTGTTTTGCGCGATAACGGCCAACTACAGCACTGTAAACATTGGACCAATTCAGGTGACAAGCCTAATCCTGATTCCCAATGACTCCAGTTCACAACTATCGTCAATTCTGTAGTGTAGGAGACGATCTTGATAGATAAATACTACAGTACAGTCGTACTCTTCATCCATTATAATTATTCAACAGAAATTATTTCAATGAACTAAGACTTCAAGGGGTCCGACCGAATTCTATATACAAATGGTAGGATAATAATAGAATAGAAGAGCGAGCAGAAGACGGTCTTGATAAATACTACAGTCGTACTATATTACTATTAAATAGAGACTACTTTAAAGGGTCCTCCTGTAGAATAATCGGAGAAAAGGTAGGAGATAAAAATACTGCTGTAATCATCATTAAACAGAGACTATTTCAATCAACTAAAACTTGCCTCATGTTGGTAATGCCCTAAATTCGATAGAATAATCCAACAGCTAGTAACAGAGTCAAACAACATCATATAGTCAATGCAGTAACTACAAATATACCTAATTGTCAAAATAATCGCAAGATTAGCATACACCGTAGCATGCGAACTAATGGAATGTTTCTCTTTCATAAATTAGCTAGAGAGAAATAAGGAAAAGAAATCAACACTAATCTTGAATAGTAGTAAAGAATCAGAAACACCCAACGTGGTTAAGGTTAACAAAGGAAATCGTAGCTTATCTTCTTCGTATACTGTACAGTATAGGACACTGAATTTCGCACAAGCGCTGGTTCGTCAATTGGCTTATTCAGAAATTTACACGGCTTCTTAACTTAATTTATATTCCAGCCTCCTTTGCTGTACAGTATACGTCTATATCCCCCTTAAAAAGAAAATTAAATTCGCTACTTGAGTATTGTTTCCATTTCTGAACTTATCGAAGATGGCTGAAGCTAGACAAGCTGTAGCTTTTCAATTTGCAGTTACCGATGAAGGTGTGGTCGTCGACTTTAACAAAGCCGCAATTTCCAACGTTGTATCCGTAATTCGCCACTCTGTACGGTTACGATTACATCGTCTGTATAACACCTTGTTAAAGAATATTTTTCCAAACACTACCCAATCATATATTCTAATAGTTATAACGCTATTATTGGCGCGTTATCTAGAAGCTGGTCCTTCTGTCATACTATGGAATATTGGCACTGAACTTAATAGTATTAATCATAATATTACTGGTTTACTTTATGTTGGTTTATTGTCTATAATTATATGGTTGACATTAGCCTATATCGAACGCTACACATTGAAGCTATTGCTAATGTACAAAGGGTGGATGTGGGATGCTCCTAAGAAGACCTCGTGGAAAACGAAAATATGGTATACGCTCATGAAGCTTTTATGCGCTCGTAAACATTTACGTCTTTACAGCTATCAGGCCTCCATACCAAAGCTATCCGTACCGTCACTGCAATCTATCTGCAACAAATACTTGAGTTCGGTTAAGCCCCTGATGAATGATAAAGAATACTCTGAAATGGAGCGGTTGGTAGATCAATTCCGTAATGGAATTGGTAAAAGATTACATCGCTATACTGTATTATATTCTTGGTGGGCGACCAACTATGTTAGTGACTGGTGGGAGAAATATGTTTACCTGAAATGTCGCGGCTCTTTGATGATCAACAGCAATTACTATGCTGTTGATTCGGCGGTTTCTGTGCCAGTAACTTCTATTCAAGCTGCTAGAGCTGCTAGTGTTGCCCACAGCCTTCTTTTATTTCGGCAATATGTAGATGACGAAACTTTGGAACCTCTCGTACTCCGTGATATTATTCCAACATGTTCTAAACAGTATTCAAGAATGTGGAATACTACGCGGATTCCTGGACGCACGTGTGACTACATTGCACATTTTGATTCATCCGTCTCTAGGCACATTGCTGTATACCATCGTGGGCGCTTTTTTAAGGTTAATGTGTATGATGGCGATAAGCTTCTAAGCCCTACTGAATTAGAACAGCAGTTTCAAACGATTGTAGACGATTCAAGTGAGCCTCAACCTGGCGAACTCCATTTGCCAGCACTAACAGCTCAAGAGCGCTATTATTGGGCAGTAGCACGAAGATCTTACTTTGCTGCTGGCGTTAACAAACAATCGTTGGATACTATCGAAAAATCTGCTTTTGTTGTCATTCTGGACGATACCTCACAGCATTACAGCGATTCGGATCCTTCCTTATTGAATTCCCTATGTAAGTCAGCACTGCATGGAAACGGAAACAATAGATGGTTTGATAAATCAGTCAACTTGATCATTTACGCCAATGGCAGGATGGCCGGCAACTTTGAGCATTCTATAGCAGATGCGCCTGTTTTTGGCCATCCCTACGAGTTTGCAATGATTAATGATTCTATCATTCCAGGACGATATGATAGTGATGGGCATTGCTCTGGTAAAATCGTCAACAAGATAACTCCACCGAAACGGTTACAATGGAATCTTTCCGACGATTGTATTGAAAAAATCAATGAATCATATGTGTTAGGTTGCAAAATGATTGATGATCTTGATTTATATGTCTTAAATTTTCAAGAATATGGAAAAGACTTCATGAAAAAATGTCGTGTCAGTCCTGATGCTTATTTACAGATGGCTATGCAACTGACATATTACAAGTGTAGCAATCGATTTTGCTTGACGTATGAATCTTCTATGACACGATTATTCCGAGAAGGTCGCACAGAAACCGTACGCACTGTTACCGACTTATCATGCAAATTTGTGCTTGCAATGCTGGATAAAACTAAAACAAATAAAGAACGTCTAGAATTACTTCGTCAGGCCGGCAGCCTCCATCAAAAGACGTACAGACAAGCAATGTGTGGTCAAGGCATTGATCGTCCTCTTTTTTGCATGTACGTGATATCCCAGTACCTTAAAGTCGACTCACCATTCCTGAAGAAAGTTTTAAGCGAGCCTTGGCAACTATCAACTAGTCAAACACCCCATCAGCAAACAAAGTACGCTGGCGACAAGTATGATGCAAAGATAGTATCAGCAGGTGGCGGTTTCGGACCAGTTGCTGATGATGGTTATGGTGTTTCTTACATTGTCACTGGTGAAAGCTGTTTAATGATCCATATAACTGCCAAAAATTCTTGTCCTACAACCAGTGCGAAGATGTTTGCGGACACTTTGCAAGAATCTTTGATACAGATGAGAGATTTTTTTTCTGCAGCTTGAAAATACCGTAAACATCGTTAATAGGATCATAAATTTATCGTACTATGCCTTCCCTTACTTCACATTAATTTGTAAAATGCAATGCAGTTATATCTTTGGAAATTCTTTGATAATGATAATGGCACATTATTGCATGTAACAACCCACTATCATTTTCAATAGTAATCGATTTCATGTTAAACATTGCACTTAATCCATACTGTAGAATCCATAGTTATTAATAGGCTGTCATGTTGATTGTGATGCAAATTATTTTAAATTTTACGTACACCGTACGTGGATACATATTGTTGCTATAGTAAAGAGCTAATCATGTCTAAATTACAGTATATACTGTACAGTATTCGCTGCTTCGAATATTGGTAATCATGAACAATATAGCATTCAGTACATCAGTACGTTCAATAGAATACGAATATCGTACCAATTTTATTCCATGATACTGCTTTGCAATATCTTCGCTAGAATTCAGCTAGTCTGATAACTTTTGATTGTCATTTCATATTTTCGCATTTCAACGAATAAATAAATATGCGAGTGACAGATATCCATTTTTTGAAGTGTTACTTTTTGGGTATTCGTTGTTTATGTAACAGGTCACGCGATACGTTCCTGAATTTACCATTTTGTAGCTATTCAACTGTAACGGTAACTCTAATTTCAGCGTTTAATTGCTTAGTGCTTCACTCTACTCTACCGTTAACTATGCAATTAATTACTCCAAATCAACACAAAAATGTTCTGCATTTAACATCAGGGGATGCTCCACAATTTAAGTAAAATATAAAGGGCGAATAAGCTGTTTGCTCATTAAAGATAGCGAGAAGGATTTGCACAAAATTGTCGAGCAGATACTCGTACATATTTTACATTATTTATTACCACATTTTATAATTTACAAATAGAAATAATATAATTTACTGGGTAATTTGATAGCTACGATACCGCATTTATACACGGGATAAAAACTTCTAAGCAACTATTACGAACACAAAACGCTTACGTACGACAATACAGTCATAGAAAAAGTGTAAAATTTCGCTTGCAAACAATCTGTATGAATGAAAGCGTCTACTGAATCTGCAATACATTAATAAATGTTACATTATCTTACCTAAATCATTTTGTAACAAGAGCAAGATCATATAAGAGTATTTTGCATTTAAATTATAGTGTATTTATACACCTATACATATATATATATATATATATATATATATATAAAACAATGAAAACGAAAGTACAGCATAAGAATAAGGTAGACTATTATATAAGATGTCCCGCTGTTATCAAAAGCACTTTGCAAAATTATATAGATCTGAGTTGATATTAATATATACTGCTAACAGATAAATACAGTGATTAACAACAGCTAAATTAGAGATAAACCACATCAAGAAAAGTTACCATCAATACAGAGTATCAACTGAGTCATTTTTGTACAAGTTTACCAAAGCTGGCCAACTAAACCTTAATATAAATGAAACATTAACGTTATCACAGATTTCAAATTTTATTGAAGTATCAATTAGAATAACTATTACGTTATTCTTGAACTTCGCCAGCTTCTTTAGATACCGAAATCGGTCTAGCTTGCTGGATCTGTGGCGCTTGTTTTGATTGCATACAGCTTCGAGCTACAGATTCGAATAGCCTATAAAAGATATGTCATTTTCGGTCACTTTCTGAAGGCCAAACAACAACAAACTGCACCTATGTTAGCACTATTCATAAAATCAATTCATACAATACATACTTTTCTATTTCTGGGGCACAATGTACAAAGCTATGAGACCAAAATTTATAAATTGGATTTTTAATCAATTCAATAAATGTTATCAATAGCCCCCAAGGATGTGGTCTATTCACTATAAGTCGTTCCAGCAATACCCTGCAATTTTTACAGTAATGGTTACCGCAATGATCACAATAATCAAATATAAGTCAATTAACCAACCTAGTAATTTGCTCTTGAATAGCTTCAGAATTTGCTTCCATAAATAAGTACAGTAGAGTACAACTAAAGTAATGCGTATGGCTATTCGGATAACGAAGCTGATTGCAAATCGCATTTATAAACAAATATCGACCTACGCGTCAAAGGAAACATTGTAAGTATTATACAGTCTTAGATTAATAATACCTTATATGAAAAACAGAATTAAAATAACCTTCGTTATCTAGAACGGCAAGATTCTGAAAAATATCCATGTGAGCAGAATGAGTAATGGTCGATAAAGAAATAGATAAATTTTTGTTTCGAATAAATTGAATTGCTTGAGTTCCAACATATAGCACCAGAGCGTTTATCAAAGGCATATTATAACGCGTTCCTGGCTCAGAAGGCATCTACAAAAGTTGATAGTGACAATACCATATAAATGACTACGTATAGTAGGATAACGAACAGTGACAAACTTTACAGTGCTAGTTAGTACCTGAACTGCACTTCTCATTTCAGACAAGAAAGTCACTGGTTGACGATTTTTCAAGTAAGAATCTAAATCCTATAAATAAGTGAAAGACATCATAAGATCACAAGCAATGTTAATCAACGTGATATTCCGTTATTGCTCCTACTTTTCTAAATGTCTGAGGTTGAATGGCAGCAGTGAAGTTGTTCAGTACGCGAGGAGCGTGATTTATTTCTGGCAACATGTCAACCTGAATGTTCAAAATATTAAAATTTTGGATAAACAGAAAATAAGTGCAAATCAAATTAAACTATGCTATTGAATAAATTCACTCAAACCTTCAGATTTGGGCCAAACGGATCAGGCAATCGCATGCTTCGCGGATATGCACTTAATATTAAATTTTTCAATTGAATACAATTTGGAGGGATCACATCGCAAAATGCAAAATGGCATTCACATAAGAATTCAGGAAAATCATGTAACAGTACAAGTAAAACCCGCAAGGTTCCCTATCATAACGCGAACAAAATAACATTCGATGGTAAACATGCGTTAGTTTCAATGCTTAAAGTTACACTAAGGGCGTTAATAAATACCTTATAAAGAAGTTGAGTCTGTTTCGCTAGTTCGGCATTGCGTAGAAATGGAGCTAGGAATTTGAATAAGTCAAGTAGCAACTGCTGAAAATGTGCCCATCCCTACACCGGTAAAATTATCAGCATTAAAACAGAGCAAATTATATTAACGATATAATAACGTTAACACTATACACTAAACTATATAACGATACCTTCTGCTGGGAAGTGCCTAGTAATCGAGATATCATTATTCTGTGAGATACTAATTCTAACCAAGAATAAGAGAAACCTGGCACCCTATGCGGTCGGAGTGCATGCAACATATTGCTATAATAAACAATCATAAAAGCATAAATGGTAATGAATAGTCCGAAAGGCTTATTTTGAACGTTAAAAGGCAACAAATCGATTACCAAAGTGCAGAAAGAATTGCGGAATTTAAATTTTCTAAAACTTGATCAACCCCGTTAAGTTCCTCAAGCAACATCACCAAAATACGATGATACGGCAGTTGATGAAAATCAGCATGACGCATGTCATGATCTTGCATCAAGACTCCCGCAATGAGTCCAAGTATCTAGTATTAAACATATTAATGACACAGATGATTCAAGGGTGTGAACAAGTACAAATATACAAATACACGCAGTACTCAAGCCAAACCTTGTTGAGCATACTAATTTTGCTATTGCTAGGTTCGCCAGCATGTTTTACGATTAGGACTACCAATCGGCCAAACGCATCTAAAGTTTGAAACAACTTGATTCGAGAATGCGCATTCTGTGTCTTTAAAAAAGAATCGTTCCTCAATTAAGCTATTATGTTAGAAGATATCAATAGTACGTACAATAAATATACTAACCACGTCGTGAAGATTTCTATAAGTCAACTCTACGCAAATTTCCACACTCACACGGATAAATCTTAGTAGCATCTCATCATTTTTGAGCATACCATGTTGATGTAGCTATCGCAAATATATTTAATAGCAAATCAAGAGAAGTCATTAAAATCTTACATGTCAGATAACTAAGCAAAATACCTGGTTAGCAAAAACTGCAAACGCCCTCTCGCTATCTCTTCCAGATACTGGTTGAAGGTATAACCTGACCCATTCACGTAACAAAAATTCAGTCTTTTCAAATAGAGCTGCTTGATCACTATCTCCAGGATTTCCTCGTACGATAGAACTTGCAGCAGGAAGACTGCTTGGAGTTTCATGGCTAGGATTAGATCGTACTGGCGTATCTTCTTCCCTACTTTGTCTGTTAGGTTGCGCAATACGATTTAATGTCTCTAAAGTTCGATAAAAGTCTGACTCTTTGATGTTATCTTGTGGGTCATTTAAAAATTTGCCAATTAATTGCAACGCAAAACTTGCAACAGTATAGTTACTGCTATTATTTATAGACTGCGCCAAGTACGAATCAAAATCTTTCATAACAACCAATCGACTACGGATCAAGATCTCTACTGCTTCAACATTCCAACGATATTCTTCTCGGCATTCGCAAATAAATCTAGTTATACATTTTGCTGTCCAAGCCGGACCACAAGCTTTTGGATCTTGTAACGCTTTTAACAGCATCACATGACCAGCCCTAAATCGCATATTTAGTTCAGATTCTGAAGCCACCAGAAGTTCCATAAGATTTTCTACACACTATTAAAAATATAAGTTTCACAAAATTAAAAATATTATGAGATAAAGCTTGAAATACAGAAAAGAGTTACCTTAGTGATTAATGATGTAAGTTCTGTTCCATTTTGATTCATTCTTATTTGTACTACAGCATCAAGTAATGAACGCAATGCAAGAACTTGAGGTTTCGGACTAGTATTCTTGAGTGCAATAAGATGGTGTTGTAATTCAGATCCGCACTCGTCCAGGATAATATTTAATTCGTCGGTTGGATTTGATGGCTAAAGGAGAAAGTAGTTAAACTTTTATAGCAGATAGATCATAAATGTTAGTATATCTCAATCAGCTAGAATCCCTTTATTTCCTTACTTGTGATAAAGCTGTCAGCTCAGGAAATCCTTGAGAAATAGCAATTGTAGAATCGGTTATTGGAGCAAAACCAGGAACATTTTTAGCAAAATCGTCATAGATAGTCTGCTTTTGTGATCCCGGGCCACCGACCTAAGTTTTTAGTTCAAGAACAAGAATTATTAGATCCAACCCAAAGTAAAAGTATTCTACTACAATGTACATATATTACTTTCAATCGGATTGCTTCAGGCATTCGTTCCGCCTGGTATTGTAAAACAGCATGATCGTAATAACGTCGACCTTCACTGCGTGCATGCTTTCTTATTTCGAATTCCTAAAGTTAGTTGTTATAAAATAACAATTAACTAAATGATTTGGACAAGTTTGTGTTATTCATAAACTTACCGCAGCTAATGCTTTATTAATTTCTAAGAGAGCTTTGTCAACCGCAGACTTTTGTACGAAAGCACACGCATGTTCGGTATTTTCATTAGCAATTATCGTTGCAGCCTCTTCTATTATATCTTTCATGTTTGAAGTATTCTACAAAATTTTTGAAGAAAAATAGATCAATTCTAACGATAATAATCGCATTCATTGTATGGCGATCAGAACCTACTCTTAAGTTAGACATAAAAGCAGATTTTAGATTGTTAGAAATGGCCATATGTAGCGCTTCACGACAGGTAATCAATGCCATGCCAGCAGTGAAGTAGCGTAACATATTATGAGACCCTGTTTTAAGATGGGTTTCGTCAGGGTCTAAGGCAAAATCCTATAGTAACGAAATAGCCACATTAATATATAACGGTAAAATAACTAGAACACGTTGAATTAAAAATATAAAGATAATATTTTACCTTCTTTATTAGTTTTTCTACGGTATTTATTACAATTTTGATAGAGCGCTCAGCAACAGGAAGGAGTAATTCTTGAACTGCACGTTCTATAGCGACTTTTACATAGCTTTTTAAATGCGGATTTTGTTGAAATAGGCGCAACTAATAATATACCGTTTAACAGTAATGTTATTACTCTAAATTTTTTGTATTAGTCTTTTTACTACTACAAGATATAATATTCATAACATGTAAATTATCAGTACCTGATTATTTATGACTATACCAGATGATAATCCGGCAACTGTCGCACTTAATTTGTTATAATTGATCGAAGGCGGGGGATGAGTTCCTTCATTCGGAATCACATGTTGAATTTGTTGCTGACCGCCTATAAAATCCACCACGTTATTAAGTAATTGCAATATATAAGTTACTTCACCACTGAAAAATACAAATTTACCATTCTTGGGTCCTTTCATTGGATTATCAAGCTGATGACGTTTTAGTCTATTCAATCTCTCTGGATCTTGCAATACGTCAAATTTCGGTATATCCTATGACAGTTCAAATTTTGTGTTCTCAAAATTAAGATAGCGTATAATTGTAATATAAAAACTCGGCTACCCTCAGACATTTATTTCATAAATGCTTTACTAACCTCAATGGCAATATTTAAATTCTTACACAATATTTCCACTTCGAATTTAATATTTAGCTACATGTAGCCAAGAAGATAAAAATTACATTACGATCGTATGTCAGGTGAAGTTAAATTTAAATCGTATATAAATATCATTTATTACGTACAGATACGCTAATAATTATTGACTTACCTTTAGATTTGGTACTTGATGAATTTCAACTAATACACCCAAAATAGCCATTATCCAGGGACAAGGGGGTTTAAATACCTGATGTCAACGTACGCACGAAAAATTTACACAATATTCAAACACAAATATAAAAGAAACTATAACAAACATTCTCGAGGATTTCACTAATTGTTGTGTTTTCTTACCCTACTTTGATTTACGCTATCGAGTACTTTAGTAACGAACGGAATAACAAATAGCATCTCCTATAAATGATAAAATAGTAGCCATTTAGATTAAACTACAATGACACTACCGTGACTGTATATGCTATCTATCACAAAATATTTTAGTCACCTGTTCACCCTTAAAGTAAGCCTCAATCAAAAGAGATTTGATATCCATTTCCTAGCAGCAAAACATTAAATTTAGTTAAAGTATAAACGCCATTAAAATTACAAGTTAAAAACATACATACTTTATACAAGATTGGTTTATTACGTGCCAACGTTAAAATCCCAAGCCAATGGCCCAAATTTTTCAATATCACACGATCAGAATATTCATTTGAATTCTTTTCCATTTTTAGCAAAACCTTTAAATAAAATAAATTGTACCTAACTATTAAAATTTGTAGAAAATTAAAGAAAAACATTCTTATTATTAAAGAATATATTTTACCTTAATATTTCTATAGGTCTCATGCAATACATCTTGATACAACTCTTTCGAATTATACGCTTCAACGACTGACGAGTAAAGAGTATGAAAATTATGTTCAATACTGACTCGCCTCATAACTAAATAACGACTAAACCATAGTCTGTATTTAGCCCCAACCAATCCTTTTAGTTCTTCGCACTATTCAGAATGTAAAGATTTAAAATAGTATTTATTATAGTTCACGGTATAAGAACGTTGTATAGTGCTACACTGTAATATATTCTAGAATATCATCTAATAGTGACGCATAGCAAGGGATACTACATTACTTAATACCGCTATTATGTTCATATATAGTGTAAATATATATACATAACTTAACATAAATGTACGTAAGTATGCATATTGATAAAAAATTGACTAGTACTGCACATTTACTCATAGTATTAAATAGTGATAACTTTATTTATGAACATTATACTACTAAGATGTACCTTAAATTTAACGTTTGAATTAGATAAATTGTTAAAGATGAAATGGAATTTATCCTGAGTAGCATTCGGAGGTTGCTCGAACGGAACATCAATCGCAGCCAGGAGAGTACCAATATTGGTAGCACCGGCGATGGATAGTGTTTGTTCAACAGGTGGTTTCATAACTGTTGATATCACCGGCTTCGTTCCAGAATCTGACATGCTAGATGACACCTGTGCTAATACCTGAGTATTTTGTTCAGAGTCTTCAGTAGTAGCTGGTTGTACAGGAGGCTCTTGAGATTGTTTGCCATATTCTACATAAGCAACCAACGCAGGAGGAAATTCACGAAAGTGAGGAATAACAGCAAGATGATCACAATATTTTGGATAATCTTTTAATCTATTTTTAAATCTGTCCAAAGCTGTAATACCAAATTTATGCATTTTACTATTTGGAGGCTTTTTTAACGCTTCTAAAACATATCTTAGCGCTACGCCTAAATCCATATAAGTCACCAAACCCTGCTCTATAATTCCACCAAATAAGACTGCCGTAGTATGCAACTCCAAATCAGGATACTGCGGAAAATATTTATATTCTTCGATTAAATTACGTAACATACAATGGAAGATATCATTTTCCTTTTTTACAGTTGAATCTTTGAATTTTTTCAATAAACTCAACATTTCATTAATAGAAATTGTAGGTTCTGGAAGACGATTGTATAATTTTTGAAAGTAAGCGTTAGCTTCATCTTCTACGCTCTTAGTAAAAGTATTATCTGCACCTGACCATACAGCTGATAAATCGGAAACTGTAGGATGCGATTGAGGGTTTGAACTTGATGGCTGATTGATGACCGAAGCCTTAGTTTCACTAGGTTTTGGAATATTAATCGCCTGAGATGGTTTCTTTGTATGCATAGGAGTATGATTAGCGATCATAAGCTTAACCGCTTTCGTGTTCTCCTCATCGATACTTCCTAACTGACTTTGTAGAACGATTAACATAGTTGTAACAGTATCTGTCGGTAAAATAGCACTCTTAGGTAAATCTCTTCCACTATTTTGCGAGATTAGCAAAGAAGGCGCTCTTCTATCTAGAAATGAAATGCAAGCTCGAATGAATTCATCTTTATGTTCTTTCATCTTGTCGGTCATCCATTTATCTAATTTTAGGTACTCTCGTCTAGCGGCTAATGCCGCTAAATCGATTACAAAGGGGAAAGGACCAGTATTAAGCAAAAGAGATAGAGCCTTGAGATCCTGTGAAACATCTAGTATTCTCGATAGTCTTGTTTGATCAAAAGGATCGTCTTGCATATACCAATTCGCCATACAATGCAAAATCAATTGACGAATAGATGCTGACTGTCCCTGACCATGCCATGCGTAGTGAAGAACACTTGAAGAGTTTGGGTGATTGCCTAAGAAAACGGGCATAATCATTGCAACTAATTCGTTTCTTAGTGTATGCCAAGTAGGGTTAGTTTGCAGTAAAGATAACAAAAGAACATCAGGGCAAATTTTTGCTGGGTAAGCAAATAATGATAGTACCCGATCGTAGTGGCCACATTCGCCAAGTCTTAGCAATGTTTCTACTAAATTTAGTGACTGCCAATTTGCGATATGTTTATTTCCCTCTTCTGGAGGAGCCTTTAATATATCAGTAACAACGGTATGACATGGATAATCTCCAAAGCACAATACTTCAGGGTGACGCAGTGACTGCTCAATGAATGATAGCTGGCCTTCAGTATTCTTCCAATTTCGATAAATGAGATCTATTGGAAATGTATCCTGCTGACCAATACGATAGGCATGTAAAATTAAACGGAGTCCTTCTACATCAGAGATAACAAACCCAGGATAATCTAGCTTAGCAATTACTTCCATCCAGTTCATGGACGGGACTACATCTTTAACAGCTTCAATAAAGACAGTAACATTCCAAGAATTACTAGATGATGATAAATCTTGCTGTTTTTCCTTTTCCCAGGAATTAGTATTATTAGTTAAATTTTGGATGGGCATCTGATCAGCAGCATTACATGTTCGAATCATTATTCCAAGTACTTTTGCGACTGCAGCCGGTTTCAAAGTCTCGTAAGGTATCAAATCTAATACTTTCTTTGCCTCTTCGATGCTATAGTTATTAGATTTATTTGTTAATGATATCATTTTGACACATTCAGGATAACAACGCACTAATAAATTAAATATATTTATTGATAAGTCTGTATAAACCTCGCACAGCAACCATAACCAATTTCTGCCATGATATCACATAGTTCATCTTTTATCTAAGATTATAGAGGTGAAGGTAACAAATCGCATATATCGTTAAGGCAAGAATGACTTCAAATTACTAAATCAACTTATACGCATTCTTACCGGAATACTACTAAAACCAGTAGATTTTAATAAATTTCTGAAATAAAAAAGTTACACTGTGAAATGTGATACTCTACATTTTAGTATATACGCAATTTCTATTTACATATCGCTGTCAGTTGTCGTATAGTCATGGTACAGTAGTGGATCGAGAAGGATTGGTACTCTGTCTCTTGGAAAGTCTATCAATTGATATAAAGTTTAAACCATAAGAGTCAATTTCCAAAGTAAACTTTTCTATGATAGCGCTAACAATCTATGTAATCATTATTTCAACTTAAAAGCATCTTACTGTCACTTAAAATTGTTTAACTAGCTTATTTATAAGATCTTTCAAGTTGAATATTACTAACAACAATTATGCGTATACGATACCTTGTCTTAACATCTCAATAAAAGCGTCTGCTTGGGTATTACTAATTCCGGTTTTTTCTGAAGAGTTATCAATGATATAGCAGAGTAGCTGATGTATCACTTCTACTGCTATATCACCTAGGCCATCTTCGTTGCTACCAACATCTGATGATATAACAAATTTGGTAAAAGACAGATTAAATTGTAAATATATTGTTAGCATGTAACTCTACTTGGGTAATTTTACTGATAACTGGCGATTCATCCAACTACTATTGCTATATGCAAATTATACAATTTCTACACGTTGTATTACGCAACTCTTCAATGCTAAGTTGTGAAATAAATTTAAAGAAAGGTACTATCATATGCAGATTTAAAGTAACACAGACTCGAAAAGCTCATATACACGTATCATCTTACCGGAATCAATGTAAGACTGTAACAGTTCTGGTAATTTTTCCTTTAAAAACCTTTCCGCTAAAATAAATTAGAAGGGATAATATTACTGTATCATTCCATACTAAACCATTCACTTAAACGACACAAAAAAAAATCTTAACCCTAACAGATAAGCAATATTATTATTATCTGTAGACTATACCTTGTGTTTTCAGTTCAATATTAGATGCATGGATTAAGCCCAACCCTATTACAATCTATTTTAATTACAGTTTTAATAATTAATATTGATACTATGACAATCGTGTTTAAGAAATCAAACATTTATCTTGCAGACATAAAAGTAGCCAAGATTAGTGTAAGGTACCTCTTGAATTTTGCTTAGTTTCAAAACTTGGCTTATTCGGGATAATAACTGAGGTGACGGTTGAAGGCTCTGAAAGTAATGAACATGATAATTTAGAATGGGAATAAAAATGTTGTAGTATGATATTCAAATGTTCATTAATCCAGAATGTAGATTTTCAATCGGATTCAAGTCAATTTTGATAGTTAATACTTTTTTCAATCCATCATCCTTCAATCCAGTTTTGGCACATACGTCTATAACGTTGCAACGTACAGTTTAATTTATCATTTATTAATGCTCACCTTTTGTTTGGGCAAAGGTTCATCTATGGCGTAGCTTAAGATAGTTGCTACATTAGCTTTTGTAACTAAACCGCTACACTCTTGCGATAACAGCTGGATCTAGATAAAGATACACGAAGATAACATTATGCCACTAGAAATAACGGTAGTTCTTTATCATGTATCGTCCTGGTTAAAAGGTCGATTCCTTGTACTGAATTTTAAATAAAACGTCTAATTGTACTTGTCAGTATGTATCAGTTCAAATCAGTCAACATCAGGCGGCCACTTAATGTGAAAAGTAGATCATGGCTTGATGAGCAATTGCCAGCTTGGAATAACAAATTTGCGTGCTAACATCACTCTTTATTGTTGGTATTTCTTTTATTGCTGACCTCTACGCTGTAGTTTTACTTACAGCTTAGTTCTATTTTTTAGCGACTTAGAACATTACATGTTCACATAATAGCTATTGTATAGTACAGCGGAGGATAAGAGTGTACAGTAAATAGCACGGTTGATTGCTGATACAATTGGTGTAGACGACTACTAAGCTGTTATGTATAGCACTACTGTGCCGTCAACTATTACTATTGCAGCCGAGAGGTACTCATACATACAATACTACAATTTACTCACGTAAATTTGGCAACAGTTTTGATAGAACTGCAACACAAAGACAAAAGATACCCAGCTAGTTTTACTGTATAACATAATAATTTTATGATTTCTACTCTGCTTCCCTTCATTTCGACGTGATTCATTACTGATTTACTGTACAGTATCCCACTCGTTGCAGGCTTGCAATTGGTGATTGATGAGAAAATGGAATGTTCAAATTGATAGAGAAGTATTGACTAAGGACAGCATTATACGTTACATACTATAAAATATAGCATACCTGATAGAAATCTTTACCGCTACCTTTATTATCCGCGTTGAAATCAATTTGTGAGAATAAAACACGGTACAAATGTTTCTCCGCTTCGGTGCCATAGCGTTCAACAAGCTATAGATACATATTAAGAAAACAGAAGAGAAATTGAGATGTAATATTGTATGTCCAGATTCAGTTACGCATCATTTTTTTGCTTCTCCACTAGGCAATACTGTAGTAACAACAGTATTCCTGGGACAGTCTAGATATTAAGAGGATTTCACAATTTCATTCTCATACTACCCAGTGATGGCGTGATAGCGTACAAGTAGTAATATTTAGCTGCAAGATTTGTGCCATGAAATACTAATAATTATTACATAGAGAATTGCTGTAATTATAGTCTCCATTGCCTATCTTGGTAGCCGGCATTGAACGAGTGACTTTGAAGATTGAATCGATTACTACAGTATGAAGTTGCAGTTACAGAATTACGTACAGTACTGTACTCTGGTTCTAGTGTCTACAGTACTGTACAACTACGGACACTCAAAGTGTACTGTACACTGTACAGTACTGTACGCGTACTGTACGCCCAGTACGGCCAGTCTACAACACGACTGGATTTGAACATACCGTGCCCTGTACAGTACACTATAGTTCAGTACTAAATCCATAAGCTTCATGCCTAAAATGGGTCCGCAAAAATGCTGGAAAAAAACGGAATAGCTAGCGATGATCAAGTGTATAACATGTATGAAGAAATGACTTTTGGCATCCACTATTCTTTGACTCTACAGTAATAACAAAACAAAGATGAACACAAATTCTTGGCAGTAGAATCGCTGTTTCCCTACTAATAATATAGCTACGGTTTTCTTAATGTCAGGCCTCGGATTTGAACTCACTTGATTCACAGGATATATATTCTCATGTACTGTACAGTATGTGCACTTTACTTCAAAGCTGTGAACAAAACAATATACAATAGACAGGAACAGTATAGTATGTATGTGTAGGAATCATTGACATTAAGAGATCGCAGAGAATCTTGAACGATAAAATCTATTTGAAGTTACATTATGTGGGGGATAGACATGTTGTAATATACATATATATACGTCGCCAAGAAGATAAGTGTCAAAAGTGGTTCATTCACCAAAATTTCAATCAACTATACAGTACAGTACTGTGTAGCATGGACTACTCAATCTTACGGTAAAATTGAGTCATCCATGTGTGTGTAGTGTCTTGAAGTTAGCAGAGCCGTAGCTGTTTTCAAGAATCAAAATACGGCAGATAGGAATAAGCATCAAGATACGCGTGGTTGTACTACTCTATCTTGGCATAGCGTAAAGAAGTATAATACTCATCTAACCTAAAGAAGTAAATCGTTTGTAACCATCACCATTGCAATAACTGACAGTAAGCTATCCTCAAGATTGATGATTAGACTATGATTGCCACTTCTAAACACTACGAAACGTACACCACACAAGACAATAAACGGACCACTACAACAAGGTTGGCAAAGTTACGTACGGCAGTGCAATTGAGCTATCTTTATTATATCGTCGTATAAACGAATAACTCTCTAATCTAACCAACCTACACTTTGATCTTACTGCACAATTGGAATTGAAAAGATGGTCTATTGCCTATTACAAGCATATCAATCGAATATTGGGGTATAAAGGCCTTTGAACAAATGAGACAAAATTTGAATGCACGCAAGTACTCAACACTGTACCGTGTATATTGTATGTCCTATCGAAAATGTAGAATGTTTGTATGCATAAAAGTCAAATTAGGAAGCATTAGAGTAAAGTTAATGAACCTAGAATAGGCTGTAGTTGACAGAATGAAGCTATCTTCAATCCAAGAATGTAATACCGTTTATTGGTATTGGTAAGTTTGCATTTTCCAGTCAAAAATCATGCAAGTTCAAGTCTGTACTTTCACGCTTTAACGAATCTATGGTAAGATAGTAAGTAGACCGTACCTGAGCTAATTCAAGTGTGTGCGACTTGGCAGTTTTCTTATTTAAATTAGTTACCAAATGGGTAATTTGTGAAAGTGCTAAGGACAGTGGATCCGTGTCCACGACAAATGTCTAAAGGGAGTTTTATCACATTAATCCACTTTGATCCGTTGAACTCGATTGTAGTCAGTACAGTCATGGACTTCTACTGTACAGTACAGTAACTGTAATTGGGTAGTAAACGTGTCGACTTGGGTGTGGTTTACGATACTGTGAGCCAAACTTTTCACTGCGTAGTGGCCTGTACAGCATACAGTACTGTGTTTTCCACACACTGCGTGTACTGTACTGTACAGTACATTACCATATCCAGCATTACTGTACTGTAGTAGAAATTGCTGGTAGTACGGTAGAGTACTGTACTGTACAGTGTACAGTACAGTACTGAAAGCGTTGTCACTCTTCTCTTCCATTTTGTATTGTAATTACAGTACTGTACAGTACAGTACTGCACCGTGTACAGTGAAAAGTCTTCTGCTCCTAGTTTTGCCAACCAATACTGTCCAGTAGGCCCAGCCATAATAACCCCGATTACTCAGATTAGACCTGACTCAGACACTCAGCGTTAATAGCTTTGACAATAATGTACTGTATCATCGTTTAGGCTATTTACGCTGAGTATCTGAGAAATCGGGGTTATTATGGCTGGGCCTACTGTACAGTATCATTACTCATGCAATTCAAAAAGTCTTCTGCTCCTGGTTTTGCCAACCAATACTGTACAGTGTACAGTAATACGCAATCTGAGAAATCGGGGTTATTATGGCTGGGTCTACAGTGTACAGTACTGTATCCATTATTCATGCATTTCAAAAAGTCTTCTGCTCCTGGTTTTGCCAACCAATACTGTACAGTAAGCCCAGCCATAGTAACCCCGATTACTCAGATCAGACCTGACTCAGATACTCAGCGTTAATAGCTTTGACAATAATGTATCATCATTTAAGCTATTTACGCTGAGTATCTGAGAAATCGGGATTATTATGGCTGGGCCTACTGTACAGTATCATTACTCATGCAATTCAAAAAGTCTTCTGCTCCTGGTTTTGCCAACCAATACTGTACAGTGTACAGTAATACGCAATCTGAGAAATCGGGGTTATTATGGCTGGGCCTACAGTGTACTGTATGACCATTATTCATGCATTTCAAAAAGTCTTCTGCTCCTGGTTTTGCCAACCAATACTGTACAGTAAGCCCAGCCATAATAACCCCGATTACTCAGATTAGACCTGACTCAGATACTCAGCGTTAATAGCTTTGACAATAATGTATCATCGTTTAAGCTATTTACGCTGAGTATCTGAGTAATCGGGGTTATTATGGCTGGGCCTACTGTACTCTACAGTATCATTATTTATGCATTTCAAGAAGTTCATGGCCCTGTGTACTGTACAGTACAGTACAATACGCCAACATGCATGATGATGACTGCACTGGAATAAAAGCGTACAGTATTAATCAGCCGTGCCAAATGACAAAACTACTGCCAATATTAATTAATTTCAATTTCAATCTGGAATTTTATTTGATAAATCAATTGGATGGTTTTACTCTACAGTATCTCACAATTTAGGAAAATTTTCTCAATCTGATTCACATCGAAATCTTCAAGCCTTCAATCGAATTTTTCTAATCTCCTTTTCATTCATGAATATGTTTCTAATCAATAGGGTTGCTGCAAGTGTTTACTATACGGTTGTTCGTCAGAAATCAATTTCAATTGAATTCATTCACTATACTGTACAGCGCAGTGTACAATGGACTTTACTGTGTTTCGGCAATCAGCAGTTGGCAATGGATGAGGTACTGCACAGCAAGTCTCCATTTAACGTCAATTTGGTCGAGTCCCTAATTATAGTCCCTGATTATACAGTATATTACGTGTATAACATAGACATTACATAGATTGCATTACGTATATACTGTGTATATTATAGCACAGTAGTTCATTACTTCATTCATCCTGATTGTAAATTCTAAATTTTGAATAGGTAAAGTGTATATCCATATGCTTTATACATCGCCGTACGTTACGGCAAATAGTATAACATAGATATAAAAAAAATATATATATATATATAGCGAATAGCTACGGCACAGGTAGATAGCTGTATATTACGTAATATGCATGCCCATTGCGCCAATTTCTAGAATTGTCCTAGGAATTTCTCTGCACAAAACCAAAATAATGAGCGTAACACTGGCTGCAACGAAACTGCAAATATCTGCAGCTATTTTTTATTTTGCAGCAATGGCTAACTACAGAGTTGAAAACTCGACTCGAAAAAGCGAAAGAGAGCCTGTTTGGAAATTTGTTCGTGGCTGATGCTTGTCAGTTGTCACAGAGATCATTGATTGGAGATCTCGATGATGTGATTGCGACCAAGCGTAAAGCAGCAGTCGGCACTAGTACATTATTGGAAAGGATTGCAGACGGACGATAGCATTACTGTACCACTCCTTTGCTCAACTATCCATAATAGAAAGAGCAAATATGAATATGTATTTATTCGGGATTGCACTCATACCCATTTTTTAACCCGCTAATGTGCAGGGCATGTGCTACTTGCTGAGTCCAGAACGTATCCGTATTTTGCAGCACACTGCAAGATACTGTACTGTACAGTGTCCAATGTGCACACCACGGTCACTACAGTAGTGTCGAGGTTGATACTTGGACTGCATTACTACTACTGTACTGAGGGGTAGTCAATCCCGTTGGCACAGTACAGTACGGTACAGTGTACAGTGTACAGTATTTACATCCTGTCAGAGGAGTACTGTAACTGTACTGTATCAACATGAAGGAACTCAACAGTGAGCGAGCGAACCGAACCTTAAGGGGAGGCTGCGACGAGTGAATTTCTTCAAAAGGGGCAGAAAAAACGTGTACTGTATATATAGTCGTCAACAGGTTTCTTGGACTACTGTATTCATACTTTGATACGGTAGTCATCATTGCAAAGGCTAGGCAAGATACGATCACTTCTTACAACATTAACTATCCATTCTTCTAGCTTTCTATACTAGTACCACATGGACAAGGAAGATTGATTGCAAAGGGTGAAGTACAACAAGTAGCCTTTCCCTTTTGCGGTTTAGCTCGCTAGCGATAGATTGATAACTCTCTGTTCCAAGCAAGCACTACTGCCGCTGACAACCGTAGACTAACTATATGGTTTGAAGCGTTTGAACCTTGACCGCCAGTCATTCACTATAGCTATTGCACTCTTCTCCACAGCTATCCTACCGATGGATTGCAAGATAAGGTTAAAATTTGATTTGACAAGAATTAATGTATTATATTATAATTCCAAGATTGTGAATAAATGTTGGATAATTTCATATGTGCATGTGGCAAATGAAGCTTCAATTATCTTTGACATGAATATCTATCCTTTCGCCCGCGCTACACAATAAAATGCATAATCTCAATCTGATAGACTACTGTAAGACAATCAACTAATTACAGTGCTACTAAGGTTATCCTATGTGATCGCGCGCTCGTTATGTTACCAACTTAGGATTTAATGGACTTATTTATACGCGTGCTGCAGCTGTAAAATAGTGTCTACTTCACAACTTCGATCCTCACAAGATTAAAGTACATACTCTCTTGTCATCGTTTTGTATTTCGTCAACGATTAACCATGGTATTTGCAGGGGCATGCTCCGATTAATTACAATGAGTAGCAACAGTCATAGGCATGGTATTTTACGTATAGCGCGATATGTCCAACATGACGTTTTTGCTTTTTTGACTTGTCATTTCATGGTTTGCCCATTATCGAGGTATACAGTCATTGGATTTTATTTGAGACACAGCATTCTAGTTTAAAACCTCAACATTTATTTTTTTCCACTAACTCAGTGCCTATGCCGCTTACTTTTCTTCCCAATAGTTTAAGAATATAAGCTACGCCTCTATGGCAATATCATATTATACAAATTCACAGGTAAAAGAAAAATCTGTAAGTCCGTTACACCGTACGGTAGTACAGAAAATCAAGACTAATTCTTCGCGCTCTTTAGGATTGGATATCAGCACACTAAGTACAGCATACAGTAGTACAATAATTCCGCTACAACAGCATGCAATAATAATCCTGTATTATTAATGCACAATTATCAATGAAAAAGCCTCAACTTATTACGATAATACACTTCGTTATTACGTTCACTCTTCTCCTTGACGATAATACGTATATCACATCAATTAATTTCAGTATCTAACTAATCATGGTAACATGTAACAAGCTTTTTCCTTATCCTGTACTCTACAGTATAGCCTTATAGTTCACCAACACATTCTACAGCATTCGTCATTATACGATATTTAGAATTATTCGTAAAAGAGTCGCAAAAGACCAATCAAATTTCACTGACTAACTGCTTAATTACAGATATTTATTATGAATATAATAGCGGTGCATAGGAAAACCCTAGAGATGAACTTGCACTATGATTCGATTAGACAATTTTTACGGCACGAAATTTGAATACAGTACCGTAGTCGGTGACCAATTAGCTTATCAACCTCAGCATCGCACATTCTAAGCCTTCATTCAGAATTGATAAATCTGGCGCTATACATAATAGTAATATAATTAAGATGATATTCCTATGTGAATGCGAGTATCAGCTACTTGAATATTTGTAGCTACAGTTTTAAATGAATCAAGTCACAGCTAATTTACGATCACAGTTATTTTTTACTGTTATTTATAAAACTAAGACTAAAATAACATGTATATATGTACGGTTACTACATTAGGAGTACTGATGATTCTCTAATGGTTTCGAAAACGGAAAATAAAAGAAAAGCCGATGTAAGTGAATCACACTAATTTGTGACTATATCACCGATGGTGATTATATTACTGTTTCTAAGTAAATGTATAAAGCAATTTAACTTAAACTTGTAATTTCCGTACTTTTCGATATCGTCGTTGATAGACCAGACTCGCAATTACAATTGCTCGTGCAACGCCTAGACATTGTTGCACATTGTAAGTATAAGCTAAGTGTGAATTAGCCGTAACAAATATGTTTTAACCAACGTATAGGATTTAGAAGGTGATCCTGCGAGAAAATTGCAAGCCAGAGACGTATGTATTAGCGTTAGACTATACAATATTCATTTTGTGCAGATGATAGCATACTATATCGTTATCATTTTACTACACTGTAGTTTGCAAATTTCGCAAACCCACTTTATGTTCTGTTAATATTAAAGTACTATGCTTGTTTCACACTCAACATCAGATCTCTGCTATATGCCCAGTTTGCAGTATTCTTAGTAATTACAGTACATCGGGCTCAATTTATTTATTTTATTCACACTCGCGTTTGCCGGTTTTAGTCTACTCGAAAATCTCTCCTTATAAATCACTAGCAGTCGACCACTACCGACAATGGTACTATACAGTAGCATCGTTCAAGGACAATTCTACCTCAATTATAATGACAGTGATGATGATATTCGCTAAGTAGAGAATAAAAGGAGCACCCGTCCGATTAGAGAAAGGAAATACAATACTGTGTTTTCATTTGCATAATTTTTGTATATACTACAAGTGTCTTTCGTTTTACAATTTTCCGACCTCATGCAACATCAATTTTTACTAGTCCCACTTCAGTTATCAATATACGAAATTTTACGACTATCAGAGATCAATCTTTTTCTAATCATCCATTTTACAATCAGTTGAAATACGAGTATGTACTGTTTGTATGAAATTAAATAGAAAATTTCCTTACATATACTCGCTGTCGACTATAAAACCTACGCAGCCTCACCAACACAGTTGCTTATTACCGTATGAATGAACGTTCAAGAAAACAAGACATTCCCGCCAATTTATTTATTGGCGCCAATAGAATCTGTCATCTGACACAATTCCTTTGTCATACATCATTCTAATTGGTGTTAGCGTAACAATGCAAATCCTTACGTCACGATCGTTGAAATTTTAATAGTACAGTACAATATTTGATGAGTTGGTATGGTATAATGTATGGTCTGGTACGGTACCGTACACTAGAGTTCTATACAAATCATGTTATTAGGCGCCAGGCGCCTACCAATGAATGAATTTTTATGCAATAGATCCACCCATCTCTTGACTCATCCGGAACTATAGCACTAATTAATTTTAATATTCTGAAGGTTCCAGTTAACTCCTTTTGCAAATAGAATTATTGCTATCGTATCACCCAAATCGGTGCTTTAAAGGAGACGTCTGTCCGTAATTAGTCGACCAACGTGTCGTGTCCTATTGGAATTACAGTACCAGTTTGTAAAACAATATAACATTTGGCGATCCAGTACAGTATCCATTGAAATAATAACCGGTAACAAACTCTATTCCTAGGAGGATTTACCTGCGAAATATGATTTCAGTGGTATTTCAACATCTTTAACAACTACAACCCCTTTCGATTCACCTACCACACCGAAAATTCAAGAAGTTGCTGGTTGCAACCAACACGCGCGGGAGAATAATAACCTGTCAATCTCCAGTAGCCCTTTACCTGTCTTAAGCTGGGCTGACAGGAAAGAAGTGTGGCAAGTTATGATAGAAAATGATAATAATTTCAAGCGCAGCCCAGATTGCTTTGATCGACATCCAAATCTTGTTCCAAACATGAGAGGCATCCTTTTAGACTGGATGATGGAGGTAGGATAATACTTGATGTTGATTATCGCAATGTAGTATCTTCACCTTCACTGGTACTATACACTTGCTATTAACTTAACCTTAAAAGACAAATATAAGAATACTATTAGCCGATATATCAAACTTGGATATGTGCTGTTTAGATTCTATTGATATAATGCATTCATTACACCTTGATAATACTACCCAGTCAGAGTATATCAATTACATCGTTGTTTACATTGTAACTTTACCATGTTGTTTACAGTACTTCGTAAGAAGTTTTTATCGATATTATCGACCAATATATGAGCTAATCCAGATTGTATATCAATCTTTCAGGTGTGTGAATCGTTTAAGATGCAAAGAGAAACATTTTACATGGCCATGGATTACTTAGACAGATACTTATCACTTAGCGATAACATTCTCAAGCAAAAACTACAGTTAATTGGTACAACCTGTTTATTCATTGCTGCAAAAATTGAGGTTATTAGCTAATAATAAAATAAGGCCTAAAACTGATACTTTATGATTACGTATCAACTATTGTAGCTCTCTGTATGAATTTGTGTTAATACTATATGGTCTTGTACGATAAATATCTGTGAGAATCAGCTTTCGTATTATCTAATTGGGAGGTGTACAATTGCGACCAAGTTCTCGATGAACTTCTGTTGTGTTGTACATAATATAATTCTGTAATATTTATGTCGTTATGATTCACTAAATTAAGGCTATTTTTGGATTTAGGAAATCCAGCCGCCACAGGTATCAGAATTTGCGTATGTTACCGATAGTGCGTGCAGTGAAGATGATATAATCAAATTAGAGCTTCAACTACTTCAGGTACAGTTGCTAAATTCAATTCCGTAAGATTTTCTTATTATGCAGTTAAAACTTCCTATTTAATCTACGCTTAGACACTGGAATTCCAGCTCTCACCAGTTACGGTAACATCCTGGCTGAATGTCTATGTGCAACTATTTAATATCAAATTATCATCGCAAGAGCCTGTTGGTGACATGCTATATCCAACTTATTGTGGTGATCTATACATGAAAGCAATTCGAGTAATGCAAGCCATCTTAATTTTGTAAAATTTATACGTTAATATGCAGTTTATTTACGGCTAAATGAAAGCCATACACGTAATCGTAATCGACTGCTCTTTTCAACTTTTTAGTTGATAGATTTATGCATACTAGATTCTTGGTGCCTCATGCACTCCTATAGAAGTATCGCTGCTTCTGCCTTCTATTTAATTGCTCCATCCAAGCAATTAGCTATTGATTGCACTGGTATGTTAAATTGAGTTTACGTAACGAATTGAAAACGAAAATCTCGTTATCAGTAAAATCCACTCTAACTTTTCAATTTGTTTCAATGCAAGGACCTACAATACTTAATCAATTTTTTCTACTCCTTTCAGGGTATTTATGGGAAAATCTCACTAGCTGTATATCCTGGATGATGCCTAAATACGAAACTGTAAAGAAATACTGTACTTCCTATGAAATCCAAACTATTAACAATGTAATATTGAATTTTGATTATCTGTTACATCTATTGCAATTAGAGTCTATTTTTTAAGTTAGTTTCTTATATGATCTTTGTAATATAGATTCCAAAGCTTGACCTGCATAGGATTCAGACTCATCACGTTGATCTTACGTTGCTGGTACACCATTACCTGTAAATAGCTTCTTTGAAATGTACTATAATAATTACTATTATCATTTCCCCTCGCTAGGAAAAATCACAGGTAATAGCTGACAAATTAACTACAAACGCGTTTATTGATCAACCCGCTTCCCCGAAAGTATCTGAAGCTGTGATAACTCCTCCTGACAGCAGCAAAAAGAAAAAATTTAGATCAGATTAAATTTTCTTAAAGTTATTTGCATTTGTTAGTTATGTATTAAATATGTTCAATATTCTTTTATTACTGTAAAAAATTACATCATATTGAGATTTCGTTTTCACAGTTACGTCATTGCATTATTAATATCAAGTATCGTTGTTATTGAACATATCTGAAAGATATACTGTATATTAATGTTTTGACGACAAAATTGTGCTTTTTGCACTATAATATGTAAAAATGTTTTAGATTTCAATCGAAGCATTAAAAGCATAGTATAACGATAGTCAATTTTTTTAAATGCAATTATTACTTATAATTATTTGACTGTATTTGGCTAATCTGTTTCATACATGGAAATGGAAGCTTTGTTGTATCTAACATCGCTGCAAGGTATATCAATGAAATACCTATCTATAAGAGAATAATTATTCCTTCTTTATCTATTGTAGTCCTTATTTAGTAATTTTGTACATAAGCAATGGGGTACACTAAGCACTAAAACAACCTCGAAATTTCAAGCCAGCGAGTGCAAGATGAATGTGAATTGTACTGTACACACTTAGAACATGCTTTCTACATCTTATTCTGAATGTATACCGTGCCGTATAATATTATATATTGTGTTCCACGTATAAGAATTTCTATCATTTGGTTATTGTAATAAAATTTTTGGCGATTTCATAGAGTGCTATTCTACGTCTTAAAAACGTCAACAGTGTCATTAGCCGTTACTATGATTTTTTTTGCAAATTGCCGTAAAAGTTTAACTTGATAAAAGCTACTGTACGTATAATTGATTGATTGATACTTTGAGAAGGGCCTCATGAATTGTACTAACGAGCATATTTCATTAACGCCATTTCCTATTTAGCATCTACTAAGAATCTAACGAAATTTTGCGAGTACCACGCAGACTACGAGTTTTTCAAACAATGGTACGAAAAGGTCAGACGTACGAATTCTTAACTATAGCTATTATCCATTTAGCGTACAACCACAAATAATCCTTTCAATATATAAATCCAATAATTTATGGGTATCTTTATTTCACTATGAAATAAACTTAAATACCTAAGGTCGAGATTAAAACACATTTTTGGAGCTGAGAAATGTAACAAAAAAAAGCCTTCCTATGGTGGTCAAGCAGTAGCATTTACAGAATCTGACAATTTGTCGGAATTTAAGTCGGTATTGATGAATAGAATATAAAATATACAAAACTTCAACACAGTGTATTAAGGAAAAAAGTATTACGATGGTGGCGGACGAGCCCCTGTTGGTGGTCCTAGTAGATATTTGAATAAAATATCATGAATTTAATATAATTAAAAACGTTCATTGACTTTACTCAGATACAAATTTGCACTTACGAGGAGGCATTCCGGGTGGAGGAACTCCTGGCATACCTGGCGGAGGCATACCCCTTGACATACCTAGAAATTCACAATGTTAAAAATTTGCAAACTATATCTTTCTTATATAACAGAATTGTTACAATATCAAAGGAAGCAATATCCTCAAAATAAAATTAGCCTACCAGCAGGCGGCATAGGTGGCATCCCAAATAGCGGAGGACCGCCAGGAGGACCTATGTTGAGTGAATTTATATTTAGACATGTAAGAAATCTTTATATTAAAGAGTGCTTTATAAAACCTAACAGATGTTACTCAGAAAACAGTATTATCTAAAGATGAAAATACTAGACACAGCGTGTAAGTTACCTGGTGGCATTCTTGGAGGCATACCACGGCCCATCATTGGGGGCCCTAAAGATCACCGAAAAATAAATCATTTATCATCCGAACTACTTTCAAATGGGCTTACGAAAACGAGTAATATCATAAAGTAGTACATATGATACCTCCAATAGGAGCTGCAGGACGGGGTGGGCCACCTGGAGGCATTGAACCTATAAACGAAAAATTTATTCACTTGAGTTATGTGTTGATAGACAAGTATAATTGCTCGCAGTTCAAAATCTGTGAGAGCATTGTAATTTTTTTGTCGGCTATTAATTTTCATCACGTACCTGGAGGGCCAGGAACTGCCGAAGGTGGAAATTGTGGAGGTGCTATTAATTTAGAAATTTCGCTGAATAAGACTTCATGGAATATTTACCGCACTAAAATATCAACACTGAGATAAACAAGAATGCAAAAACTATACCCTTACCACCACTAGCCCCACGACCTTGAGGTGTCATAACTTGTTGTCCAGGCCCACCAACACCTTTTGCAGGTCCCGAAAGGCCTGTTTGATAAACAGAAGAAATTGCAATCTCTCAGTATAACTATGAAAAGCAATGCATCAGTACAGAAAGTATTTTAGAGTTGGTAGATATTTAATAATAACCAGGTGGAGCAGCTGCTGCAGGAGCAACGGGCACTCCCCTTCCTGCTGCACGGCCAATGCCAGGACCAGGAGTGGCAGAAAAGCCAGGAACTCTTGCTCTTTCCTATATAAAGTTAATACCAGACTTGTCAGTCATACAACAACACACTCGTGTGATATACGAGTTTCTCGTTTATTGTATTGCAGGACATATATAACAAAAACCTTGCTTGAATTTATAAATGAAATAAACATAAATTTAAGATACCTAAATGTTGTCATTTCTACAATAAGTACCATTTGCACAAATAGTACACTTGACAAACGTGGATGAAATGATCGAATGTTAGGGAAAATACAGTAGTTATATTACACCTATTTATACGATTGATTGATCATAATCACCATCATGAACATTTCAACCGTTCAGTCAATTACATCTTTTCCGGTATTTCATACACTAGAATGATATTTAATTTATCTGAAGGTTGTTTTAATATCCCATCCATGGAACAGTTAACTCTTCTACAGTATAGTACAATCTTTTTCATCTTTAGGAATACCCATTCTTTTGATTCATTATCCTCAAATAAGTACTATGCAATGACTATAAGTACAGTCGTATAAATAACCTAAAATTTATACTTATAGCTTTTAATCAATTCTATAAACGAGTTATCATCGAAATACTACTAATTTTCAATACAACAAGTAATGCTACGAATTTCAAGGCATAGTATTTACTATACTATAATATTCGAATCAGACTTCTCGCATATTAATAAAAATAATATTAAATGAGTCTACGCATACAACGTATACTGTAGCACTTTCCTGTACAGCAAATATCACTCAAATCTCAATACTCATCCATTATATTGATATTAGAATGCATTGAGCAAAGATATGGGCTACCAAATGCAACTGCAGCCTTAATGGTCCAAGGCAATGACTATGGCGGGCACAAAATAACCGATAAATGACTCAGTCGATGACTGTACCTCGCTGTTACACGAGCATGAGATATCAATAATCTGCTATCTGTGGTAGTATTACTCGTATGTAAGCCTATCCTTTTCACCACTGCTGGCAAACTTTCAGGACTCAAAATTTCCATTTTGATGTTAATAATAAATTTATAACTACCGCTTTCAGAATGAACTCGTTCTCACCAATCATTACCCTATAGAGTACAGTTATGCATATGATGGACTCCATAATACGCTGTAAATACATAAAGTGAAAACACCAAGAAAGAAACATACTAATATACTGTACAGTACAACAAACACGCAACACTAAGGAAAACGACGAAACCACTGCAAATCTTCACTTTTTAGCTATTCTAGATCTTTCAAGCACTATGGAGAATTAGTTTTAACTGAGTAATTCTGTATAATACTACTCTGTCTTTAACGTAAATTGACTGCTATGCTGCAAATGGGATACCGTCACAGTTATAATGTAACTAAAAATGAATCATTATCCCAAGCAACATCGAATGTTGTCTATGAATCGAAGTTAGCAGCAACTACCGTTCAAAGCTATAACATTTATCCTTTTCCACAAGTCCACACATTGTATCTCTAACATTGTCTATGGATGGAAAGCTATGGCATGGCAAAACTAACATGTGAAGCCACAAAGGTTATCATTGTCCCAAGCCACATGTACAAAAAAGCTACTACTCAATGTGCTCATTCCTGCAACGTTGTCTATAAATGGAAATCAGTGGCAACTACTGTGCAAAGCAATCAAAAAATGATGATTGTCTCTAGCAACATGTAAGTGCTACAAGTCCACAGATTATCTATGAATTGAAATTGGCGCAACTACCTTGCGAAGCTGTCCATGCTGTAGTTTATAACCTAAAGTCCACACACTAGCACCTGTAATATCAGCTATGGATCCAAAACTGTGGCAAACTACCGTACCAAGCTACTAAAGATGTCCTCATATACCAACACACCACTGAATGGAAAACTGTAACAACAATTGCTTCAAGCTACAAAATGATGTTATTGTCTCACATTGTAGGCAAAATAGAGCTACTAACTCATGTAGTAGCGCCTGCAATGTCGTCTACGAATTGAAAGATGTGATCACTATTGCGTACAACTCGTCAATTTTATCTTCAAGTTGAAGTTTGATAGGCCAACTGTAGTAGAGAGATGAAAAAGTGAAACATAATGCTCTCTCATTTCAAGAACTCCTAAAACGTCGAGTCCATTGGCGGTCTTGACTATTATTATTGATACGGTCATTACTAGTCATCACTGTCCATTATTCAGTAGTTGAGAAGAAGAAGAGCAATGAACATTAACTGTACAGAATAGGGGGAATAGTCATGGCATTGGATGAAATGCCTTTTTATGTCACATCTACCGATGACATGGACAAGAAGACTTACTTCTGCTGGCGGAGGACCTTCCACTGTTAACGACACCAGATTTTCACCACGTAATATTACTAAGCCTAAAGACCTTTTTTCTTCACGTTCTTGATTCTTGGATGACTTTGATTTAATCTTACGAAATTCATCACAATCCCCCAATACAATATTCATATGTTTATCATAAGCTAATAAAGTACCAATAAACATCCTTGTATCCTGCAAAGTGGCGCGCATCCTGTAATTGATGTGCATAGCCATCTTGGATTTTTTACTGACAGGCTAAAAAAGCGACAAGAAATAATACAAGAAAGGGTTACAAAAAAGATATTAGCTTCAAAAGAAGATTAGGATGGATTCAAATACCATGATTGCTGTCCAAGATTACTTCGATACAACTGATGAAGAAGGATAATGTCAGATCGTCGATTCAAGATGGTCTACCCACTTGCAAGTTACAACGACGCACTTGAGACGTTCCAATGCACCTTCCACTCTATACCACTGCAGTATAGTTCCTTTTTCACTGTGGCCAGTCGCTGCCATCAGTCCTGGACTGCTGTACTCAACACTGTACTGTAGTGTATTCAGTACTAAGTATTGTAGTACTGACAGTACAGTACTGTACACTGTACACCACGGTATCCCAGAATTCTGGGCTAGCGTAGAACAATCTACTGTACAATACCAGTGTTTACAGCACAGTGTACAGTACACTCAACTGTACAGTACAGTACCGCATCCTAGAATTCAGGGCCAGGCTTCTTCTCTACAGTACAGTACTTCTATTGGTACTGTTCTGTGGTAAACTCAGTACTAAGTATTGTAGTTCTGACAGTACAGTACAGTACAGTACAGTACTGTACACTGTACGCTACAGTACAGTACTGTACACTGTACGCTACAGTACAGTACTGTACACTACGGTATCCCAGAATTCTGGGCTAGCGTAGAACAGTCTACTGTACAATACCAGTGTTTACAGCACAGTGTACAGTACCGCATCCCAGAATTCAGGGCCAAGCTTCTTCACTACTTTTACTGGTACTGTTCTGTGGTATACTCAGTACTAAGTATTGTAGTTCTGACAGTACACTACGGTATCCCAGAATTCTGGACTAGCGTAGAACAGTCTACTGTACAATACCAGTGTTTACAGCACAGTGTACTGTACAGTACAGTACCGCATCCCAGAATTCTGGGCCAGGCTTCTACACTACTGTACAGTACAGTATACTCAGTACTAAGTATTGTAGTTCGGACAGTACTGTACAGTGTACACTCGACACTCTACTGTACACGACCGTATCCCACAATTCTGGGCTACCGTAGAACAGTCTACTGTACTGTACAATACCAGTGTTTACACTACCGTACAGTACCGTATCCCAGAATTCTGGGCTACCGTAGTACAGTATCCTGTACGTATTGTATCGTACAGTACTACGGTGGCCTAGAATTCTGGGATACTGGAGTACTGTACTGTACAGTAAACACTGTACATTGTACAATGGCAAAACAATGGGGCAGGAAATGACTGGTGAGTTGAAGGGTCCAAAGTCCACACCAGAGCTCGGAAAATTTTGAAATGTCTTTGCGGTCGGCAAACTGCAAAACTACATTTAAAGGCATACTGTAGAGGTTTGTAGCCTTCTACTGTATTTAGCGCACGGTATCGCTCGAGTGTTTTCACACTGGCAAACCCTTCTTTCGACTACGTATGAAGAATGTCTTGTATTCGTTTTCAAAATGTTTTCCGACGACTTCGGCTAGTTACTATTGGCATGTTACATGTACCGGCTTTACCAGGTGATTGAATAAAATACTACGTCTACTTCTCCAATTCATTCAGTTTTTCTACAGTGGTAATGCAAAAGCTGGAAATAGGGAATGTGTCGACGCACAGTTTGTAGGCGATCCATAAAGTACCATTCCTACTCTTTAAATGGATTCACTTTTCCTACAGTTCTAATCGACAAGTTACCAGTAAGGAATAGGTCAGTACTAGTGTAGTCGATGAACATCATAGGATGCCATCACGCCAGATTTAGCTAAATACCCAATGTAGATTAGATCACCAACTTCCCTTACAAGTCTCTCACGACGGTATGCTGTCCCCTGAGTGAACAGCATTATTATTGTTCTTAGTACGAGATCATCTGTGTACATTGTACTCAGATCATACAGTACATACTGTACAGTGTCCACATAGTACTGTACTGTACGTCTACTTTAATCCAGTTCAGGTATCCATTGGAGCTGCATTGCACAACTGTTTATATAAGTTGATATTATCATTGTAGACTGTACTGTGTAGTAAGGAAACTACAACAAGTAATAGTGTAGCTGAATAGACTAACCTTTTCATTGAAAGGATTGATATTACTATTAAATGCCTCTTCTTACAACTATAACCAACATATATCTTCTCCTATTCAACCAGGTACTCCAGCAAATCGTATGTCGATGCCTGATATTATTCAAAAGGTTTTACACGAAGCTGAAATATATTCAAAAGCTGGAATTGTACGTCTTAGTCATAACATAAAATCAATCCTAATCTTGTATACGACATCAATGGACGACTCATACTACAGCAAATGCTTCTTACTTGGCCATACTACCATAGCTATTATGCGATACAGTTTGTAGATGCAAAAATCCTTGAACAACAGTGTCATTATCATCACCATACTATTACCAACCAATATCGACCCAAATGATCAAATAGTCAGTGTGAACATGCTTTTCAATTCTATATTATATCCTTTAAAATCGTCAGTCCAATACGTATGCAACACAGAAAAAGAATGGTATGCTTGTTACACAGTTTGCAATCAATAGCCCTTCATCGATTACAAATTGCCATCAATATTACTCAATGTACTTCAATTACATCGTATTAGTCAATATCATAAATTGCACATACTGTATATATCACCAGCAAGAGTTAGACAGATGTTCACTATATTTTCCATAAACTGTAAACTAGCTCTATAAAATAATAGCGCTACAACAGTCATTGATATCACCTTTCCACTATATGATATTATAGTTTTATAAATGTCTTCTTCATCAATTCTCTGACCTTCAGGATGCCCTGATGGTAGAAAATATGCACGATGTTCCATATATTAAGAAGAACTTAGGCCCTGAGATTGTTTCTGCAATGTCTATTTTGGGTTACGAAGTGAAGTCAAAAACAAAATTACCCTGTGGCCTACAAATACTCGCTGCTGCCAATAAAGAAGCTTTAGGTGCTTGTAAAGCTGCTGGCTTAGATTTTGTCCGCGTAGAAGGATATGTTTATTCTCACGTAGCAGATGAAGGCTTTATTGACAGTTGTGCCGGTGAAATTCTACGTTATCGAAAGAGCATCAATGCTGACGATATTTTAATATTTGCCGACATCAAAAAAAAACATAGGTTAGATAACAAAATAACCTTAAAAGACAAATTCCTATAGCCATAGCGTACTCGTATCAAAGGTTGAAGCGCGTTATACCCTATCCTTAGCTATAAATTATCGAGCATGCACTGCTATAACTCTATCTAAAGCCTTCGGATGAGCGATATTGTACGATAATCTCAACGTTATCTACCTCAAGTGTACGCCATTTTATAAATAACACTAATAACTATACTGTTCCATTGATACTTTTACCTCAATTTCGTAATATAAACTGAAGATTATAAATCGTAAATCTACCAATATGAAAGAAATGTACTCTACATTATGGAGATAGCAGCTACATAAATAGCGACAACTTCGCCAGCTTTCCAATGATAAACGATGTTAAATTTCAGCATACTATATAATTCCTAGTATTGATAAGCTCATAGTCATTGCCAATGGTTTTGTTTTACACTAAAATTATTTTATATTTACTTAAACTAGTTCTCATGCAATTACTGCGGATGTAGATACCATCGATTCAGCCAAGGCTGCTCAATTTTGCCGAAGTGATGGTGTCATAATTACTGGCTCTAGTACAGGTATCTAAAATAACTCCACTTTAACGAACCATATTGAATTCTTGTATTGATATTCTCATCCATATGACCATTTACACAACCTACGTAATGAAATCTGTATTTAATTAACCCATAAAATATCCCACAAACTAATTATGTTCTACTGAAAGATCTAGTTATGACACTGCTCCGTAATGGATGCATACGAGTTTCGTAATGCACTAAAGTTGCACAATCATGTAGACAACTTGAACTTTTGTAACAAAGTTACAAATGATGAAATAGTGGAAATTAATATGCGTATTATTTATATTACAGTTTTATACCAGTAATGTAACTGCCACACATGATTTCGTTGGACTGTAGTCTATAGTCAATAGTTTGAGAACATTTAGCAACCGAAAAACCGTCCGAACCTTAAATTGTTCTAAAATGGAACTATCCTCAATTTCTGGCCACTTTTATTATTCACTGGTAGTTTATGCCTTCAAATATTGATAAAGCAGTCATAATAACGCTTAAGTACTTCCGAAACTTACAGTATTTATTGCGCTACATTAATACCTCTACTACTGTGTGAAATTTTCATATCAATCTTTCAGAGAGTGTAGGAAACTTAATAAGACTTGAGCAGTATTGGATATAGTCAATGTGCACACTTAAGACGCTCACCCCTACAAATAGTACAGTAGTTGCATACTATTCTTGTGTAGCAGCTTTTCATTAAACTAAAACAACAAACATCCTTACAATATCATGCGGCCCTGATAAATTTAATTATTAGATGCAAACTAGCAGGTGAATTATTATTTTCGTTCCAAATCTGTATGGCTGCGTAATCCTCAACCTTAGCAATGAAATTGACGAAATAGTAAATGATACTAACGATACATGATATAGTGACAATACATAGTGTTGGATGGATACTAAATAAAGGGACCTTTTACCCATTGCGTGACAATCAATTAATCAGATATAATTCAGCACGTAAAGTGTAAAACACCGCAGCCGATAATGGTATATATTAATGTGAAAATTATTAAGTACAGTACAGTAATATAGTAATTACCATACATGTAAGTACTCCCCAATTTTCAATCGAAGTAACTTTCCTTAACTCCATTTATATCATAAAATATACCGTGAAGTACAATATTAGTTTCTATATTACATTTCTCAGGTGATCCTCCCCTAAAAAGTGAAGTTAATAATGTCATCGATGCTGTAGACATCCCCGTGTTGGTAGGTTCTGGTGTTACGTTGGAAAATATAGATAACTACGCGCGTGCTAACGCATTAATTGTAGGATCATACTTTAAGAAGGATGGATATTGGTTTAATGATCTTGAAAAAGTTCGAATCGACAATTTCCTGCGATGTGTTCGAAGCATTAGAGAAAATAGTGATTATACACAATAGTAATAACTATTTAAAATAGCACGCTAAATGACTGGATAACAATAATTTATATAAATGATGAATTAGGATTTATTTCAATAATCATCAAACACCTTATATATTTTCGCATTAAAATTCCAATTTCATAAGAATTTTATATAATATGCAATTAAATAAAATGAGTCAATCGAATGGTCGACATACATTTAACAAAATACACTCTTCAAATGTGGGGCACAATCATATGTTTAATTGTATCTAAAGTACATTCGGTATATATGCGGATCGTGCAAGCTTTTGTTCAATTAAATTAAATAGGATAGTAGAAATAATCGAGATAAATCGTATCAGGAACCAGACCATCACATAAACATAAGCAGACGGAAGTTATCAATTGAGACAAAACATAATTACACAATAACAAAACAGAACCTTTCAATATATATATATATATATATATATATGTATCATATCAGGAAAGTACAGTACAGTATTTCACAGTAACATCATATAAACCCATTAAATACTTTAAATGCGATACAATAACAGTATACACATATCTATACTGTACAAATATAATTTATGTTTCAGTGATTGAACAAACGGTAGCTTCGCTTCTTTATTATAATCTAAGGAACTATGATCAATCAATGATGCATTAAATTTTTTACATTTTTTTCAACCATCATATATTATAAGATATATAGTGGGTACTACAACGGCATAACATTTTCTTTAAATAAATATGCATGTTGAATTTTTGATCGATATTAATTCTACATAAGAGGCAATTCTTTTTCATGTAAGAATTTACAGTGCTTGCAACTACAGTAACCTTGGGTCTCATGTCGGCTATGAGACATAAAAGTTTACTGTAACAAGTAAAACCAAGTCTTATTTTAATACCCAAATGCACTAAGTGGACATAAATCCATAATAACAATAAATACGTACATTGTCAACTTTACGAGATTTTTTTTATAATTTCGATGATAAAATTATAACATGTTACTTATTTTTAGCGGTACTCTTATATCTTCCAATAAGTGTGCACAATTACCCAATTATTGTATCGTCACCAAACAAATCGCATAATCTTTAATCTGTATAGTTTAAGGTTAACATAGCAATCGAAAGGAAAGGAAATGGGATATATTCACTTGACTACATGCCATATTAAAATAACAATAAAAATGGCTCATAAACAAGCAAAGAAAACATTGATATTACACGCTAATGTCTACCCTAGCGTCTATAAGAGAAGTTGGTAAAGCAATGACGCCTTGACCACGAGTTGCTATATGATCGTGAATTAGCTTTACTAAATGTTAGTGATCTCTTCACATTTAGGTCCCGTGCTTTTCGTATATAGTTGAATCGGTCAGATTTTTTATTTAATTCACGATCCATGTAAAGTTCTATAGATCGGGATCTTGATTGTTCGTGGGTATCTTCATGGGTGTTATTATCACCCGAATTGGCCAAGCTAGCTGCGAAATCGTGATCTAAATTATTCCTGATACTGGCAGAGCTATCAATTCGTCGATAGATTGACATGCTTGGATGCTCTATGAGCAAGTCTTCAAATGGACTGACGGAAAGCTCTTCCATTACATGACCATCAAAGCAAGGCGGAGGTGTTAAAAGCCAACCACTCTCTTTTTCCTTGCGATTTTTAACCAGTTGATCTTCATTGCTGACCTCTTCTAAGTCTATAACAGAAATACGAAATGAACGTTCGTTGTGAGATAGTATCCGCATCTATACTTTAGTTGATGCACATATTTTTGATCGACGTTTATTTCCATTTTTGCAACAGTCTACTAATGCATTATCTATTCTGAAATAAAATTGACGTGGCAAGCCAAATACACTATACCGGCTCGGCACTGATTCTAATTTGCATAGACTATGTAGCCATATATTGAATTCTGTTGAGTCAGCTGAATGCATTGATTAATTTAAAAATTATTCTTAGCAACTACCGGTTCCAATTATTGGTCAATCAGAAAGTCACTATTATCAATTTTTAATATTTCAATCGATATAAGACGAATGACTTCCACTATTACAGTCGTTGTTATAATTAATTAATTAATTAATTATAATTAATAGAATTATTTTACTTCTGTACTTCTATTACAGCGAAGTTCTTACACGATTCGATACTACAATATACATATCGTCTATCCACTTTGCTGCCTTGAAAGGAATAAACATTAAATGTACAGAATGTGACCTTGAGACCGTTGAGATTACTGTATTGATCTTCGGTCTTGGTAGTCCATAGTCCTTATGTTGTGCACTGTGTAGTTTGTTTGTATTTAGTGTAAAGTTCCTTTAATAATTGTGTACTCAGTTTACTACTGTGCTGTATCGTATAAACAATTTTATACTATACTGTACTGTACTGTACAGTGTACAGTATGCTGGCCCAGTCATCTATAGTATTGTAATACAGTACACTACAGTACTGTACGTACTACTGTACTGAACTGTAGTCTATACTGTACCGTATTAGCGGCGGCACTGTAATAACAGACTCTTTATTGATTGTGCGCCGTGAAAGAAAACAATGCATTAACGTAAAATACGTCTTCCTACCTTTGTTCTCCTTTTTCACAACAAGGATCCAATCATCTTCTTCTGTAAGGCTGACATTTACCCGATGATTGGAAGCATCTTCTGTGCTACTTTGATCCCACAGGTATGATGACAGACTTTGCCACAACATTTTAATGTGTATGATTGCTCCTAACGATAACATTGAACATTTTATCATTAACTTTATGTACGGTACTGCTTAATGATATTGAATTGAATTTACAATGTATATTATTCATCGTAATAGTACTGTACAGTACTGTACACTATCGTCATCAACCACTATCCAAAAACAGTTTTCAGAAACTTCAAAGAACGGACAGTGCAGCGATAATGATCAGTAACGTTTAGATGATTTACGCTTGAGATTACATAAAATAAATATTCAAAATTATGATGCCAATACAGGCTTAGATGCCATGGCAAAACAATTTCAGAAATATTCATTTCACTGAGCATACGCGGTATGAGGAAGAAAAAAAAGTAAAATAAAGACAAAATGTCGTAATATTACATCAGCCAGTCGAATTTGAAGTAATACGATGCTATATAGTAAGTTTGAGTTACTGTACTACTTAGTAAAAGCAAAAAGAGGTTGAAAATGCGTCGAAATAACATTTACAAGACAATACACTATCATTAACTACAAAGTAACTGTACATTAAACTATAGTAGTACAGTACGATAACACCCAAACAGAGAAAAAAAAATTGAAAAAGATTTTAAAAATGAAGATTGCACAATAATCGACAGAATCAGTTCAATTCATTTTAGCAACTTACTGTACTGTACTTTCAAAGTTTAGTTCCAGTAATTCTTAGCTTTTAAATCCGTTCAAACGTTATAGTTCAGAACTGTTACGACATAAGTTGTAAATTGTATATTGTACTCCGGCGCAAAACTGCTTCAATCTGTTCAGTCGCGAATTGAATGACTTCAGTTTTTATTTATTTTTATTTTTATTGGAGATTATTTATTATTACTGTATTAATTTTTTTTTAGACTACGTCAATGCTACAGTACTTACACTGTATTGCTGCACAGTGTACTGTATGGTACATATCATGCTGTTGGTTATAAAGGTAAGACTCTCTTCTGTACGATAAAGTTAGGTATGAGCACTTACAGTACAGTACGTAGTTATCAGTGCGTACAGTACAGTAAAAAGTACTGTGGCCTGAATGAATGAAGTATGCACACTTACGTACAGTACTGTATGTACAGTACCAGGGAAATAGTCCTGTTTACGACGTTAGCAACGTCATAACGACGTAACGGCCGATGAGCGACGGCGCGGAAAACTACTGTACAGTATAAGGCTTTGTGTTTTGTATTTTGTTTTGTTTGACTGTTTGACGGTAAATCAATCCAAACTTCATAACGATCATGGCGCAGCCGCAAAACATTATTGTACAATGTTGATTTTGGATTACTAATGGATTACTACTGTTAGATGCTTCCATTTAGTAGTCCTATGTGTGTAATTGATATACAGACATAGATTGTATTCGATTTTCTTTATTGGAGTGGGGATATAGAACACTAAATCATCACTATGCATTCAGTATTCTGTAATAATGTGTAATCTGTCTGTATCATGGTCATTCATAGACTAGTCTGTACTGTAGTTCATGTCTGTAAAAAGAATGTCATTGGTTAATATTCGTTATGTACGGATAAAAACAAGAAATTCGGGCATCGACCATTGAATTTTGCTTTGATGAAGCTATCGGTAAGGTTGATTTTGTCAACGCTAGGATTACACGATCAAAAGAGGAATTCAAGCATTGGCAAATTGATATGGGGCAAACCTAGGCTCTCCCCAATTCGGTCTTATCCTAGAACATTTGTATATAAATATACTGTACAGTGTACAGTATATTAATATTTGAACCCTACGAATTTACTACTCTTTATTTCTATACTAGTAGATGCTTCGCTTGTTATATTTCGTGCACTCTACTTGTGCTTGGTACTTTACTTTAAGGACATGCAATGTAAAGGGATGATTCGAATGAGATGATAGTCATTTCTGATATCTTTGTTACTGTTATCAACTGTACAGTCTACGTAGATTTTGGGTTAACGAAATGAATGAAATTGATGAGTGCGCTCGTATACTAAAAGTTTTTGTGGCTCGAACTAGACTTATCAGTTAAATTACACCTATACCTGTTCACGGTACACATGGAGGATTATTCCTAGATATACATCCTTAGTATTATACAATATACAGTATGTTATGAATACGTATATCTCCATCGAGCGCTGTTCACTTTTGAGAACCATTCACTACCTACAGTATACAGTACGCTGTACTGTCCGAGTGTGTTACTCGAAGCGGTACTATTTAGGATCGTGCTATGAACAGTTTTATGAAAAAAATCCGCTATGAAGTCCCCACTGAAACTACACGAAGAATAACGAGCTTGGGATTGAATATTATAATTGCAACTGAGCGTCAAATACAGTATACGCTATAGACGTTATCTTCATGCTTATAACACGTGGCAACTTGCGGAACGTTTCTTGACTTTCCTTATGATCAAGTACCGTACGTTTTGAAAATGAATGAAATTTAATTGAATTTATTGAACTGTAACCTAAGCAGTAAAACATCTACGTTCATACTTTTAATCGGTACAATAGTTCAACATTTGATTCGATTGGTGAAGGCTTTGTTGAGAGCTTCATTCAATTAGTTTATTGAATTGTAGGATTGGATTGCCTAGTTCGAATTAATTTCTTCTTACTCAAGGTTGCCTTATTGTCGGATGTTGTGGTTAGGGGTCAAAAGCAAACATTTTCACAAATACACAGTACGGTAAAGTAGTGTTGTGTATCCCCACTCCGATTAGTCTTCACTTAATCTAGGACTGCTGGATATACCATCTAGTCGTCCATGAGTCTATTGATGGTGTATATGTTATATATCAATATACTATATGCCATAACATGAATTTGAACGGTGTAATTTGTGTCATACAGGATACTGTACATTGTATAGTAGATAGAGCCATTGCGAAAATTAAATTAAAATAGGACAGTATATTGTAGAGTAGAGTATTCCGTGGAATTAAATCAAAAGAAAGAAAAATATGGTCACGGTACTGTATGATATCAGCGTGCTTTTGACGGGGTCGCTTTTTCTTTTATCTCGTATTGCTTTTGACCTTGTGCATTTCCCGTAAGTCATGACTCATGAGTCTGCTAACTGTGCACAGTAGAGTACAGTAGAGTGTGTACTAGCACTAGCCTCTGATTGCACTCATCCGCTTGCCAGTTGCCACTCTTGTCCTGAACTCACCAGTTGGTAAAGTCCAAGTCATTTATACAGTATTTTCAAGCCTGATTGGGACCTATTAAAAGTATCAATTGTACCGTACCGTATTTATTTTTTTTTGGGGAAAAGGTCGTCGTCTCATGATGACCTTATAAACAGGGACTTTTTCTTATGCAAAGTCGAGTGAGTGTAAACGATAGTTTTTACTTTTTCCTCTCTCTCTCACTGCATGGCATTAGACTTTGTCCAGCAAGTGTGGGAATTCAGAAACAGTACTGAACAAGTATTTACTTCGAGATGCAGAAATCCTTCCAATTTAAAGGCTAGCAATGAAGCGATGACGTTATACGAGCGTACAGTAGCCCTGATCATGTTGCATAAATTACTTAAAATGATCAGGGCTAGCGTACTGTATACTGTACTACATGTAAATGTACAACCTAGTACGGACAGACTAAGTAGTACTATGCACGATGAGCATGGTACTACGGAGTCGATCGGTACTAGGTACAGACTGTACTGTGTTTTTACAGTACAAATGTTGAAAACTTTGATTTTACAATGCAGTAGCAACAATCAGGAAAATAATAAAATAAAATTAATTAATTAATATCTATGAATAGCATTGACGCTTGCTAAACCTTAACTGAGATACTGGGCAAATGGATTTCGCCTCTCCTTAATGAATTCTTTTCAAAGTGTGTCAAGTGGATTTTTCACTTGCTGTATCGTTCAATTGGAATGTTTGTGCGTGTGTCCGTCGTTCAAGCAACAACGGAATGGATAGCACCTTTTGGTGAATAATACTGGTGCATATCTATTTTCATCATGATGAATTATGAAATTTTAATTTTTTCTTTGAATTGATTTGGACAATGATTGAGTAAACGTCTTCAGCAGTGGATGTCCGGAGTTCTTTTGGAGAGGGCGTTAACGCTGATAGTGTGCTATAGTATTATGATCATTATACTCTAGTTGATTGTGTGGTGTATCGTCAGTGAATTGACATGATGTACAGTAATGGATGAGCACAGTGGTTAGTATGTGTTGGTCGCGATTATTACTCTTGGACTACATGCATACAGTAGTATAGTACTGTATGTTAAGTGTGATATCACTGTACTGGCAATCTACAGTGAAAAACGCTTGTCCGGTGCTTGACCTACAGTACTGTACACTGTACACTACAAGTCTACAGTGGGGATCAACTGGTGACTGGCTGTCGCTGAATCTCTGACTGACAGTGGATGTCATTGTCGAGTGCTGAGCGGCAGTCACTCCATCAATACAATACAGTCAATTCAATCGACATTGTCTTTCTATTTATTTATTATGCGTAATTGTATTCAATGAATTGTTGAAGGAGAAAACGTCACGTAGCTTATTTTCATAGTAATCGTGCTAAAATCATGCTAAAATTGTTTTTCACCATTTTTCAGGGGTCACAATCTGCAGATATTGGGGTCAATCCAAATGCAAATACGCTTGCGTAACTAGTACCAATGAAAGGTGAAACAAAGGTATGCAAACTAGCAAAAAATAAAAACCACTTGGAAGCATACTGTAGTGCTGCTGACTGCCAAATGATATAGAGAGCAAGTGAGCGGCAGGGGCAAGAGGCAAAAAAATTCATTAGACAACCATCGTCGCTGTCATCATTTTCCATCATACTGCCGTTTTATCGTGCGATCATCAACCACCTTTGAAAATGCTCTTTTCTGAAAGTGATTATGCCCGAAAAGTGGATAACACACAGCGCTCAACCAAGTGGGCTGTTGAAAATTGGGAGTCTTGGCGTAAGCAACTCAATGAAAAAAACAACGAAAATGTCAAGGAGTTATCGCAGATGAGTGTTAGCGAATTAAATGAATGGTTAACACGATACATTCATGAGACTCGTCGCCAAGATGGTGGCCCATATCCTGCACGCAGCTTATACTTACTGTTGTATGCTCTTCTTCGTCACATGCGAGATAAAGGTGTTACTGATAAAAATTTCTTAGATGAGAAAGATGAACGTTTCACTTCATTCCATGATGCACTGAAGAAGCGTATCGAACAAGTAGCTAACATTTCCAATGACCCCATCAAGAAAAGGCTAAAAGTATCCAGTATTGATGAGTCAAAACTATGGCAAACTGCTGTATTAGGAGATGCAACCTCATGGACATTGCAAAATACCGTCTTCTTTTATAACAGTAAATTGTTTACCATTCGAAATGTCGACTCTCATCGTACACTAGATGCTAACCAATTTGAAATCGGGTCTGACAATTTGGGTAAATATGTCCGCTTTATCCGCTCTATCAACGATAGCAACGGTGCTAAAGAGGCAGAAAAAGCTCCCAGTTTATCCACCATTTTCCGTCGTAAAGAGCAAAGTAATGATATAAAATTATATGCTCGTGATATGAACAGTCGAGTTTACCATTGCTATGAAGTTTATCTGTCAATCGTGCCAAGACATGGCCCATTCTATAGAAGACCCATTAAATCAAGCGGGTTACTTAGCTTTCATTCTCAACCGGTCGGCAAAAATAGACTTGCAGTAATGCTAAAAGAAATGTGTGAGCGCGCTGATGAAATTTATCACGAATTTGTTAGCAAAAAACAAGTAAATGGCTCAGCAATCAGTCTAGGTCAGCGCCATTTGCCAATGCTTTTACCGCGGCCTGATGAGCCCAGCCCTTCAGATAGCCCTTCACCTACGCGAAGAAATCTCTCCAACCAAAATAGCACAGAAGATGATAGTACTCGACGTAGCGATACCATGTCAAAGAGAGGTCAAGGCTGCATCGAATGCTCGTCATCATTTAGGTCTACATCAACTACTAGCAACGCAACAAGCAATCAGTATCCTTTATCCACCGCTACATCGTCTCCATCTACGGTAAGATCCGGCATATTTTCAATCAATGGCATTATGAATAAAGCCAATTCAAATAATGAGGTCAAACCATGCAGTCATGATTCAGCTATATCGCATTCTAAACAAGATTCCAACATTTCTACATCCATAAACTCAATTTCCGATAAAGCTCGGACAGAACAAGACAAATCTAGTAATTTAGTATCTGCTCTATCTCCGTCTGACACGGTTGATGATGGTAACAATAAATTGAAAAGACAACCTGATCGCCCTAATAACGTCGTTCAGATTCTTCCCATTACAGACCCTAAGTTGATTACTTTGCAAAACGGTAACAAAATAATCAACAACACCAACAGTACTGCTATCATACTCAAAGATTCCCCTCTTAATAACGATAACGTCGATCAACCAAATACTAACGGAAAAAGGATAAGCGATCATGCTAATAATTTGACAGATATCATAGTGACTAAGAAATCAAGGATAGACCAAGACGATAAACAAAGGAATTCTCTCAATTTTACTAGTATGGAAAATAGTCTAGGTTCATCAGTATTTGATAATTGCGACATCAATGTGTATTACCTAGGCTCACAGACCAAGGTAAATGTCTCGAACGGTAACTTAATACCACCTTCCATGTTCGAATCATGCTCATTTAATGATTGCACATTCAGTGTTTACTACTGTGGCTCTGAAGAATGTTCTTAATTGAATGTATTTTTAATTTGGGCTACTTTTTAATGATACATCAATTCATTGATACTTATCAGTGTATAAAATACGAAATTTTTATGAACTTTTCCATTAGATATTACTTAACACATGTTAAAAGTATATATATATATATATATATACTTAATACCGTACAATATGATCGTACTTTAATATTCGATATAAAACTCTTTGGGTAAAATTTAGAAAAATGTTAATTATGTACATTCTTAAAATCTGTTGTAGCGGTAAGATTACGGTGATGATATGTATCAAATGATAAAATTGCATGTCTATATGGTTAATATGTTATATAATTTTTGTGCTAATTCACCAATAACTAATGCCGTCGTTTTTGCCGTATCTATTAGTAATCGAAATTTAATGTAGTATCCATAATATTTCTTCCGTACGTATAATTAATGTATCCAGTATGCATGTGTACTATACGTAAATATATATATCGTAATAATACAACAGCATACACAACTAGTGTAACACAAGTATGGTTCGATAATAAAATGAACCTAGCATGCTTTTCTCGTGCTTCTAACCTCAAAATTCACTGTTACCTTATTATTCACGTGTCTTTAATTTTCACATACACATACGAGAATGTATTAATTTTGCCATATCTCTAGAATTCATGGATCAGTCGTAGTAATAATATTAGAAACACGCTTTCCATATAAGCAATGTAGCGAAAGTTTACATGTGAAACTTTTGTTGAAGTCCTTGCAATTTAAAATGCGTTACTCAATATCGAAACAAGATATTTAACAAAATTTATCTTCATCTGCAATTGACATCTATAGAGTAGTCGCGGCCGCGTACTTTATCTAATTTTGGATCATACATAATACGTGTTGATTAATTTCAGGGCAATCCAACGATACACGTACGATATAGTTGGCATGAGATTATTTCTAGGTTCATGAAGTATATCTTAAATAATTATTTTTATATATTCGATAGTTTAGAGTTGCAAATTTTATTATTGGACTTGCTTCACTCCCTTAAACATTTACACCTTTATTGTCGATCAATTCATTAAAAACATGCGATTATTTTAATACATTACACTATTAACAATAAAGGCGTGATTATAGTTGAAGCACAGACAGTTTATCTTACAAAATTCAACTATCAAGCTATATATGTAGGCTGCTTGGTGTTTCTACGGTACTCTATGTGATAATTTATTTAATTATTAATTACTGTACAGTATATATTATTGTTGATAGATAGAAATATACAGTATATGCAAAAAACGTCAAGCCGGTCTTTGATCATTTACAGACCATGATCATTTCCTCTATGCCCATCACTGAGATTCGCGAATATACCGGTTTATTAGCCTAGCTAAGAAACAAAAATACTCCTTTGTGCCACAGATTTTAACAAAATATTATGCTAATTATTGCATATTATATGAGACAGGAATAATGATCGCTAACCTCGATATTTACATAAAGAAAGAAGCATAGTAATTAAAACGGTTATTTTTTTGATGTAAATTTCGATCTATATTGTAATCAACCATGTCATACTATATGACTTTGAATAACCTTTGGCAAATTGACAACAGCTTCTCAGTCATATGATGTTATTCCATGAAAAGAGTCAAAAATGAAAAACTTTTCTTTTTCTTGATCTGAAATTATTTCTATAGTACGCTAGCACGATATTACTTGTTATACTATACAGTAGATCCATCTGATAGATGTTGAACGCTCACTATAAGACACGTCACAGTGTGCTAACTATAGCTATCATATGATATTATTCCAATATAAAAATAAAAATGAGTGACTTTTCATTTTCTTAATCTCAAATTGTTCCTATCATCATTATTAACTCTACATTACTTGCTCTAGATCCATCTGATAGGTGTCAAATACTTAGGTGTTTTTTTAGGTAACTCTGGGATACAGTCCAATAAGCAGTAATATGGAAAATTACAAACTACTTCCATGACTAGTAGTATAGTTTTTATTATTATAAAATTAAATCGTTGTATGATATAGTACGGTGTTTAATCCAAATTTACGGTAATCTTTATCCAGCCGCTCAGGAAGTTACGAACTGTACGTTAGCATACGAGATGTAAATTTTTTTCTTCTTCCTTAGGTCTAGTAGCGTAAGTTAGAAGATGAGTGCGTTAGCTTATAACGATGACCTCTCCGCTTAGTATTGTTTAATGTAATTGTAGAAGTAAAATAATATAATGCATCTAAAAATGATGAATTAATTTTTTATACGCATCTCTATAGAGAAGAAAAGGCCAATCGCCAGTCAGATATCACGTTATCATTTTATTAGCTACTAATTATATATCCCTGACAAGAACAGTAAATTTGCATGTCTTAACTATTCAATGTCTATATTCTGATTTTTACCTCTATATGGAAATTTAAAAGGTCAATGAAAGCTTTTTAAATGTTTGTTATTCAATAATAACGTATAACCTGTTTATTTACTGACTACATAACACAATGTTATACTTAGCCGGATAATCTGCATAACTTATGTTGAGGAAATCTCCACCCGTTACAATTATTTTACATAACTATGATTATCGTAATGAGTTCCAGTAACTATTTATATTAAAGTAGAATTATATAATACAGCATATACGTTTACAAACAAGACGTAATGTTATTATATACTGTCTTAAAATGCGTGGTAAGCGTATAATTATTTGATAACTTCTATACACGTATTATGCAATTTACACTCGGGCGTACACGATCAGATGGGGTCTATAGACAGCAAGATGGTGAGGCTCATGACTATCAGTTACAATTACTCTTTATGCTTGTAGGTAACAATCTTCATAAAATGGCATAGTCTATACCACAACAATGTACGAAGTGCATATGTGATGATCATTAAATCAACTAATTATTGCCACCTTCAGCTGTACGTCAAGTTCTATGCGTTGGTCATATAAAAAGTCTTGAAATCATAACATCTTTCAAATAAACACATCAGCCTTTGGTATACCATACGTCGTATGTAACCGAATCGCCAAGTACGAATGTGAATAGAAAGGGTCAAAATTTTTAACATATTTGGAGTTTACAGCGTGCTGAGCATGTGATTGGTAAATAGTACGATATTATAGACGGACTATAAAAAGTAGTTAATTCAATCATTTTGACCGCAATGGATGAACTAATTTTTAAGAGCTGATTGTATTTCACGATTGGACTAACGATGGGTGCAAAGTCGTATAGTTCTAGAATCAACTTTTAGTATTTTTAACAGAGGTTTCATAGTTGTATTATGTTACGTTCGTAACATAAGTTCTGTGTTTTAATGAGATTGTAGGAATGTGCAGTTTCTATCTCCCACAATCAATACGCAATTTTTGAGTATCGTAATACGTCTATTTTGGATTGTTACGTTGCAGAGTAAGATATTATATCAGTAGATTTTAAACTTTTGCTGACACTAGCGTAAGTACTCGTATTGCAAGAATTATTTCAGCAATTGACAATTAATTATAATATCGCGTAACATGTAGTGTGATCAACCTCTACGTAAATAAAAATACCGTAATAGAATATAATTTAAAAATTGGGGATTTAATCCAATGTATTCCGTCTTAATAAAAATAAATTGGCTCTCATTTATTAGATAAACTTTTAAAACCGTCCATTACTGTCAGTCTTGCCTCTTTTACCTTCTAGGAGTCGGTGAGTTAAGCGAAATAACTTTTCATGGCAATATACTGTATACTCGCATTTTATTGGAGCAAATAAAAAGGTACAAATACTATGCAAATGCATTCTATTGCTGTTATTGTAAATGATATACTGTAGTTAATACACAGCAAATCCGTCAAATTTTACCATCCTAGAAACAGTGGTAGGGACTAGGAAAGATTCAATTTAAAAAAAAAAATAGGCTTAAAACTTTTATAACTCGAACACAAACGGCACTCACCCAGTAGGGGTTCTATACAAGATTTTGTTTAGGGATCTATTATAAAAAAGGGGAGGCAAATTTAATGAAGTTCACAATAGTACAAACAAGAAAATAGCTATCAACGCGTTAATACGTCGTCGCGGCATTAACATTAGCCATTTTAATAACTTTTTTACGTCACTGTCTCACAAGTCATAACTATGTCTGATCCCTTAAAGTCCTTGATAACAATGAAAATAATTTTAATTAATTTAATTTTAATGTTAATACAGTTATTAAACAAAATGAATCAATTAGCTCTGAAATGTGATTGAAACCAGGCCATCCGAATATGGTATTATCACTGATAGAATTTTAAGCTAGGTGTCTTCAATAAATTTTTGAAAGTCGACATCGAGTTTATTTTTTGATTATTTATAATTAATAGTGTTGACTCAAAAATCGATCTGGAAACAATAAACAATGACAGGCTTCGCCATCCTGCTTAATGATGATCGGTATTCATCAGTGTTTTGCAATTTCCTTCCTCTTCATTAAACCTTATTAGTGCTTTTTGTACGGGACGTAAGAACTATGCGGTGTGCACTGTACCGTGTAGTAGTCGATATGGAAGTCGATGATATGGAAGATTACGCTACTTGAATGTTGATATCACTACAGCCTTGCATAAGGGACTACTCAAGTAAAAACGTTCCTATTTTTCCACCGTAGCCATCTCTCTACATTCTCGACTCCCTTTCTCTAATCTACTCCTCTCTCTTACGATAGAATCGGGGATTATATAGTAAGGGAGGAGAGTAGATCGGACTACCGGAAATTACAGCAGAAAGTAAAGAGGAGAGGAGAGGAGAGACTTACGCGCCATACTGTACTTTGATCGGGAAGAAAGAAAAAAAAAATCATGGTTTAACTGGTTTAATTGCCACACACTTCAAGTAGAGTACAGTATGCTGTTGAGCGACCCATCTAATGTACAGTACTCTCTCTGACATTCGGCCTGGCCTGGCCTGGCCACTGTCGCTAGTCATTAAAGTACTAGTATTGTCGAGATTTAATACTGTACACATATGAAAAATTGACCGGATTTGGTTGAAAAATGCCCACATATAATATTTGGATTTGGAAAAGGATCATAATGTACTTTAATGCAGATTGCAGAGGTGTGCTGTATACTGTACTACAGTAGTGAAAATTACAGTCAATATACATAGAGTAACCAGTGACCAAAGAACTGACCGATCCAATTCTGTACAGTACTTCTATGCAATCAACACAACAATATAATAAGGAAGTAAAGTACTAGATTTGGATTGGAATGATATGACTTTAGTAACAAAAATATTGACATCACAAATAAAATATATAAATATTTTTATTAAAAGGAATCCTATCAAAACGCATGGGTGTGGCATCTGTATCATAATATTATAGCAATACTCAGAGAGCATTATGTACCATAATAACATTATACTGTACTTCACAAGGAATATCTTGAAATGACATTTCTAGAAATTGAGTAACTTACAGAATTCATTCTTATATCATTCAAACAGCATTTTGTACCATAATAAAATTATACTGTACTTCACAAGGAATATCTTGAATGACATTTCTAGAAATTGAGTAACTTACAGAATTCATTCTTATATCATTCAAACAGCATTTTGTACCATAATAACATTATACTGTACTTCACAAGGAATATCTTGAATGACATTTCTAGAAATTGAGTAACTTACAGAATTCATTCTTATATCATTCAAACAGCATTTTGTACCATAATAACATTATACTGTACTTCACAAGGAATATCTTGAATGACATTTCTAGAAATTGAGTAACTTACAGAATTCATTCTTATATCATTCAAATCAGCATTGAGTACTTATATCATTCAAACAGCATTTTGTACCATAATAACATTATACTGTACTTCACAAGGAATATCTTGAATGACATTTCTAGAAATTGAGTAACTTACAGAATTCATTCTTATATCATTCAAATCAGCATTGAATGCTTCGTGTGGGCAAAAATGAATGAATTCATTCTTCTCGTATGAATGTGACCGGATCTATTCGGGTACTGAAGCGCTTGCGCAATCAGATCAGATCCGTCTGACTGCTTCAAAGTCCGTCCGGTCTGGTCTGACCACCTACGCCGATGAAATGATTTCAATTTTATTTTTAGAAATTTTGTAATCAGTGTCCCTGCGCCCTCTACAGTGTACAGTGCCGTTCTACAGTACTTCTAGTCCCAATCCTACCGTACAGTACTGTAGCATAGACTAGTGTACAGTACTAAAAATGGCTAAAAAATTCTTTCCTACAGTACTGGACGTACAGTACATGACATGACAGTGATGACACTATACTGTACTGTACAGTACAGTATAGGTTCATAAAGGTATTGGACCGAACCGAACCTTTCTCAGGCCTACATGACAGTACCGTACAGTACACTGTATTGTAGATACGGCACCAAAGCGATATTGTACTGTACACTGTACACTGTACCGTACAGCACTGTTCCCTACTCCCATTCTTTGCTAGAACCTTATTAATGTGTTGGCATGTTTGAAGCGGCCTAGTTCCACTCACTGTAACTGACTGTATTCCTCCTACACCTTACCGACGACCGAAAAGTTTCACCACATTTGTCAACGTCTTACCACCTGAAACATCAAAAGGAAGTTTAAAATCATGGATCAAATACAAAAAATGTTCGGCATGGGCAAGAAGAAGCAGGGTGGACCACCAACTACTTCCGATGCTATTCAAAAGTTGCGAGAAACTGAGGAAATGCTCGAGAAAAAATCCTCATACATCGAAGGGAAAATCGATAGCGAAATCACTATCATCAAAAAGCATGTTCGAACGAACAAACGAGGTCAGCTGCCGTTAATATAATGTAATGATGTATGAATCTTTCGTTATTAAAGCCAAATTGGAAATAGCTAATCCATGATGGTAATATTGATTTCATTTTGTAGCGGCCTTAAATGCACTTAAACGTAAGAAAAGATTGGAAAAGCAATTAGGCCAGATAGATGGCACATTATCAACGATTGAATATCAACGTGAGGCTTTAGAAAATGCCAATACGAACACTGAAGTCCTAAAGACGATGGGTTTCGCCGCTAAGGCCCTAAAATCGGCTCATCAACAACTGTAAGTACATTTCACTAATCTAGCCCAATGAATAACGACGATCAGTACATACTGTACTGTAAAAATTTGCTAGGACCTTGCAATAGAAACGAATAGTACTCTAGCTTCAAACTAGTAACCGACCGATCAAGTATCAAACTAAGTTCATTTCAACAGTTGCGTCCTAATCATCTCGGTATGAGTGGCACGTTACTATACTAGCAATGAAATGGACGATATAAGTGCGATCGGGCTTTGCAGAGTCATGACAACATATTCCGCTAATAATGAATCACAACAATTTGACGATAATGTCGAAAAATTGAATTACTGCGCTACAATCAATTTTAACATTATCCTCAGTAGTTTATGGAAAATTTTGAATATTATCATCTCCTACATGAAAATTTTTATATCGTAGCGTCGTTAATGCTAAATAAGATAACTTTGAGAACGTTACTATAACCATTCGTAATTCTTATAAAATAGGAATGCCGACGATGTACATGACCTAATGGATGATATTGCTGAGCAACAAGAGGTTGCTAATGAAATTTCAAACGCCATTTCCACTGGCATAGGCTTTGGTCAAGATCTAGACGAGGTATGAGGCAATTTTATCACAATTAAATTTCCATAGTCTTGTTGAAAACATATCTACTATCTTGATCCATATTGAACAAGCATGATAAGACTATAAATAAAAGGATACTGTGACTACTTCAATAAACACTAGTGTTATCGGTGCTATTTCTGCCTCAATTTTTCTCTTAATAACTCACCAATACAGGATGAATTAAATGCCGAACTTGAGGAATTAGAACAAGAAGAATTAGACTCAGAATTGCTTGACGTTGAGAAGCCTGAAGTTCAATTACCGACTGTACCATCCGATGAACTACCAACAGGTACGCTAATTTTAGTAGTCGCAAATCATTCTATTCAATCGTTCAATGGATTATTAGTCGATTGACCGAGATTATTCTATGTTGTTTAGTGAAACAAAAGGCCAAGCCTAAACCAGAAGCAGATGAAGAATTAGCTGAATTGGAGGCCTGGGCCTCGTAAAATTGAGCATGTACTTTATTTAAATCGATTAACATCAACCATCATATATTTACTGTATTCGATCAAGATATTCATTGTTACAAATCTATCTCCTTAAACCGATTTTATGACCTTACTGTGTTACTGTAATGTAAAGATAAGCTAATTTTAGAAGCCTTTCCAATAATCGTAGCTACATTCAATTTTATACTGTATACCTCGTCTAGTTTATGCTTTCGCCGTAGCACGCAGTAGTATTTCGTTATAATAATAAGACAATTTTAAATTGAGTACTGGAATCAGTACTGTCAAATACTTATCAGCTCCAACTGCGGCCTTTAAAAATGATCATTGCCTATTCTCTGTGATATAGTTTATCGCTTTAACCGATTGCTACAGTGTGTTGTAATCATTTCAAACAAATCTCGGAAATATTCTAGTCGTATCACGACATTAAGATACTTTCTATGGTATTTAAGAGCTAAGGTTGGGTTTTTGTAGAATTTAATTATGCCTTGATTAGTTTACTGTTGTAATGTACTTATTTCGGTTATTTTTCCGCCGAACTAACATAGCTGTCATCGCAGACTTTACAATTCACCGTAAATCTGTAACAACAAACGGTATACTTATATTTGTATTCTTGCAATACCGAATAAAATTACCTTCTATGAGATTTTATTATTTTTGCACCGTAGATTATAACTTACTAGGTGTATAATTTAGCGTACTTTGACAGTGCATCGGCGTTGCATGATTGCTAGATACGGCAATATGTACAACCATTTAGATAGGCATTCCTGTCTAATATACTAGAGTTGAAGAAAATGCCTTGGCTAACTCTAGAACCTGATCGCAAGTGAAATTTCTACTGGATGTACAGTATATTAGTTATCGTAGAGCAGCGTTATTAGCCTGTAATGTATCAGTAGGTGTAATATACTGCAAATATCATTTTATGTACAAGATAAACCGTAATGCTACGTTTAGCATATTAGACTATCAACTCGTATGAGCTCGAGGACATATACCGTATACGTGCTATTTTAGAGTCATGCTTGCGATATGGTCTACTGTACAGTAATGATAATCATCTTTATTTATGGTTTTATTAAATATAAATGAATATGGATTTATAGCCGCATTGATAAACTAGAAATTTAGATAGTATTGTCGAAATTTGTATGAAAACTAATTCTGAATATCATCATGAACGCTTACTTAATCCAGTCTCAATATTGACTGTACTTGATTCAACGGAAACGAAAGTATTTAGGATTACTTTCCTTAGCATTAGTTGCGACTACATTTTCCCAATTTCATTATATTATAAAAAATAGATCAGAAATTCTACTCAAACTGCTCCGATTTCAATTTATTGTACTCGTTTGATGGCTGTACCGTAGTTGCACGAGAAGTTGATAGTTCACGTGTCATACGTTAACCAGGTTATAAAGAGTAAATATGGACAGTTTGCTTACGGCGGACAACTGTACAGTGTACAAGCGTAGTGTATATTGTACATACAGGCAGTGCTTCGATCAATGTTGTTCTGGTACTATGAGTAAACTAATCATGACGAAAAGATAGAGTATTTTGTACTGCATGTACCGTCATAATTCTTGCCTTGTCTACTTTGACGATTATGTTAACTGCATGATGATCAACTGAAAAATGAACTCTTGCTCGCGTTCCGGCATTTCTACGCGTCCAATCTGGTACGACCGCAATGCGGTAGTTGGTGGATAGCGTATTGAGACGTTGACAAAGTATCGCTTATTTATTATTATCCACTTGACTTTGATCCTTTGAACTAGATTGAAAACGATCAGCTATTGCATGCATTGCCATGGAATAACGATCAATTTTAAATATAAAAATTATCCAAAATTCACTTCTGCTGCAGTCATCGCAGCTAGACGAACCCCCCCCCAGGCCTGCCAATGAGCACCACCACGACTCTAACCCTTCCATTGCCGGACGGGACGGGACGGCCAGCCGATTGCATTGTTCCCATGCCCTTGCCGATAACCTTCCTCATCGTAGGCGTCGCCAGATTACCCTACTGCTACCTCGAGAGTATACCGTATCTGTCTGTCTGTACTGTTATCTGTACAGTACAGAATTGTTTACCGTTGCCTATACCAGATAGTAGAAAAATGACAAGAGTACTGCTGACGGTACTGCCAAATGCTCAGGAAATAAGCACGCCAAGGATCACCAGCAGCGCTTGGACTAGTCCATAATTAATTAATTATAATTCAAAGTGGAGTGGTAGCCGCAGTGGATGGAAGCTTTCCATCAGGAGGAAAGAGTGTAGTGGTAGTTTTACATGGACTAGTAAACTTCCAATTGGAATCCATGATGGCTATAGTTTGTAAAGTACAATATATTGATGATTTAGATCCATTATCTATCTCTAATTTACCGGAACCGACACGGCCAATCAGTTTTACTTTTCAAGATGAAATTCCGTTATGTAACCAGCTACCGACGCTATGCAAAATTCTCAAGCCACCCCAGAAGGTGTGTACACAGATAGTCTCGTCTGCATCATCTAGCGATCTAAGCCACTAGTTGGACGATCTCGATGCTAATATTTCCATCAAGAGCTAGTAGAGAGATCGATGATAAACGCTTAATAGAGCTTTATAGCCACTAATAGGTTCGAAAATAGATATTTGTGCAACCAGACGAATGGAAAGATGGTGTACAATTCTCTAGTATTGCAGCTTTCTATCCTATGCTAATACAGGGATGGATGAAAGTGGTTGTCAATTCATAGCATACTGCAGAATAACTGCTATAGAAAATGCGGACTAGCTCATTCTATCATCTCTTTCACCATCAAGTAGCCCCCATTAAATCGACTAAAATCACTTTCCAATACACTAGGATAATTGAACACTCATGACTTATTAAGATGGAGTTTCATCCATCCTTAGTAGGAAATAGTCCTTGTATATAGATGGCATTTTTTCCCCACTCGAACCAATAATTATATAGCGCCTTCTTCAATCGTAATTCAAGCATAACTATCGTCAATTGATCTATTCACCCTCGATATTCTTTGCTCTAAATAAAGCTATTTTCATTTCCTATTAATTAGCTTGAAGATGTAGCCTTGCAGTTAAACGTTGGTGGACGCTATTTAGATCTTGAAAGTACCCTTGCAGAACAATTTGAAGAGTTTGACCTGGAAACGTTCTTTAGCAAGTACTAATATAGATTATTACTTGAATATTGATAAATGGAGATCACATTATTCCCTTTTTTAATTTATTTGATATTTCCAATTATTACTTTGATGTGAAATATTTACCGTCACTGTTATTCTTTACCATGAAAGAATCAAAATAGTGTACTCGCATCATCATCAATTAAGGAACATTACCCGCTTTACGATAAACAATGAAGATGATCTCTACCATATCGAGCAAATCGATCACTAATAACATCAATCGATTTAGTTTACCTCAGTCTTTTTATATTTATTCATGAATTATTTTACTGACTAGAAAATAGGTGATAATTTTTTCGTCCATTGCTCGCATTACTTTTTCATGTTCATAGAATGATTATGATAGAATTCATACATGATTGAAATGTCCTTTATAGGACGCCGCATCTATTCACGACGTTGTTTGGTCATGCACTTATTAGTTTACACTTTGGGCATCGATAGAATTATTATCGTTATGATAATATTATTATTATACTTGGAATTCTCATAATTTTGGCAATAGTAGATTTATTATTTTCCAATTCATCTTTTTCATCCGCTTAGTCGTCGTAATGCAATTATTGTCAGGACTCAACTGCCCGTGCGAGTTGACAAAATTACCGGTAAGTGAAATAATTGATTGATTTTGAAAAATTATCTTGTTTTTTCCCCATGGCGATCCTAATTGAAAATATCTCTTAACTACGTTACATCTTTTACGTATGATCGGTGTTTTCTAAGGCGATCTTAATAGGAAATACAGTATCTCCGAACTACAGTACTGGACATACTTGCGTATGATTAGTCTTTTGGTCTTTATATTAGTCAACAGTGTAGTAGTTAAGTTCGTTCCATAGTAAAATAGTTTTTAACCTCAAGAAAGACAATTGCTTAATACTATTAAAACTGGTTGGGGTTTCATCATCAGCAACAATATCTAGAAAATTATAGTATTATTATAATACTGTCCGGAAATAATTAAAAGAGAGTGAAAAAAATCATTTCTGTATCAATGGATAAACCACTCCGTATCTGCATGGTACACTTATATCATCATTTCAATGTAGAATATAATTGTAAGCAACGGCATTTTGCTGATCAAGACACCAAGTGTGTCTAGACATTATGCTCTACTGTAGTAGTGCAGTAAATCGTTGGTGTCAGTGTGAACATTTCTATCGGCCGAAATCGAACATAAGCCTACGTATAATATCGTCATGAAACAGTCTTCAACAGTCCTAGCATGATCGCAAATTGATGAGAGATACAATGCTCCAATCATTATACAATCAACTTAATATAGTATAACAAAATCAAAGGAGGGGCTATTATTAATTATATTGAGGATAAAACGTATTTTAATTTTACCTCTAATCCATATGAGGTACGCGCAAAACAATACTAATCAAAAAATCAATCAATATTGTAGGTCCGGCCCATTTAATCCATTGATTTCATCCAATTATTTCACTCATTAGACTGGAGCACTGTACTATATCATTCTCCAACTTTTATATATAATATAAAAATTGAAAATGGCTCCCATGCAGTTCGTATTCTTGATTTATTCAACCCATTCATTGCTTTCTACAACGACATCCACCATCAATATACTGTAAAGTAAACTGTAGTACGAGTATACTTTCGCACGCAGAAGCTTGTTCATTTTACTATCATACGTTTCATGAGGGTTTATAGTAGATATTCCAAGCGAATGTTAGCACGTTTTACACTGTTCTAGTATTTAGATTTTCACCTACATTACAGTATAAGGATAACAATTAATTGAACACTTCACTTGAATGTGAAAACTCTCGTTCAAATACATTCTATACGCCAACATTTAACCTTAAGCGTGATTGCCTTATCAACTCGTAAAATGCTTATGATTGTATCAAATAGCATTATTGCCAATATTGAAAGTTCTATTCAACCAACCAAGAATAGATACAATTTGCAATTGTAAAATTGTTGACAATCAATGACTCTTTGTTGCTTTAAGATAATTCATATTCTTAGTAGAAATACGAATTTCCATGTTAGATAGTAAGCTTTCTACTACCCAATTGTAACTTTCTTCAAAAATGTTGTTGTCTACTACAATTAAAATCCTAGGTATAATATAGCATTTGAAATTAATTCTTCAAAAACACTAGTAGCACTGTAGGATTACAATGTACATCGATTTTTCATAAACGAAGACCATAGGCCAAGATTAGTTTGATAGGTAAAGTTAATATCGATGTCTTCATTTTTTCGAATGTGGACGTAACCGGAGAGTAGATAGCAACCATTAGCTAAATTTATATGTAATCTATTCTACAAGCACTATAACATCATCATATTACTTAATTTAGCTTAAATTTTTACACTATCAACTCTGATCGAAGGAGAATCGATGTTATTAGTAATCCACTTATCACAAGGGTTA